CTTCGTTGGTCATAAAAGCCAAATTTGGGCCAGTCACCAGGAGACTGGGAGTTCTAGTCCCCTCTTAGTCAGCTGGGTGACTTTGGGCCAAACACCAGGAGACAGGGAGTTCTGGTCCCCTCTTAGTCATCTGGGGGGACTTTGGGCCGATCACTAGGAGACTGGGAGTTTGGTCCCCTCTCAGTCAGTTGGGTGACTTTGGACCAATCACAGGAGACTGGGAGTTCTAGTCCCCTCTTAGTCATCTGGGGGGACTTTGGGCTGATCACTAGGAAACTGGAAGTTCTAGTCCCCTCTCGGTCAGCTGGGTGACTTTGGACCAATCACAGGAGGCTGGGAGTTCTAGTCCCCTCTTAGTCATCTGGGGGGACTTTGGGCCGATTACCAGGAGACTGGAAGTTCTAGTCTCTTCCTAGTTAGCTGGGTGACCTTGAGCCAATCATCAGGAGACTGTGAGTTCTAGTCCCACCCTAACTATGAAAGTCAGCTGGATGAATTTGGGCCAGTCCTTCCCTCTCAGCCCAATTCACCTCACAAGGTGGTTGTTGTGGGGAAAAGAGGAGGAGTCTTTGGTCTTTACTCTGGCTTGAGCGATTTGTAAAGTAATAAAAGTGCGATAAAAGAAATAAACAAACAATAAACATTTTTCTTCTCCTTCCGAGTGACTGTGGCAGCTTATACCTGCATTTCTCTATACCCGTTTTCCCCAACTTAGTGTCCTGCCAATATGCTCTGGACTGCAAACCTCATTATCCCCAGCCAGCGGTGGCTTCCACATAGTCTTACCACCGGTTCACTGGGTGCACGGACCCTTGCTTCGCTCGCGCACCCCTTCCACACATGTGCCCGGCCTCGAAAACGTGGCTAAGTACGACAGCATTACGTCTGGGCGGGTCGCCGCTACCGGTTTGCCGAAACCGATCCGAACCGGCTGAATCTCACCTCTGTCCCCATGGGAATTTGGATAGGCGTGACCTCCATGTTGGGAGCATTTCAGGTGGTGGCTAGCCGGCTGCATGCTTGTTTGTTTTTTTAAGGAACTTAACATTCGGGGTCAATTGCATAAGTTAGCCATTTGTCCAGGGATTGCTGTGGGGTCAATCTAAGCTGTTGCTTAGAAGGATCTTATTTTGTTTCTGGGTGAAAGAAGAAGGAATGTCAATGCAGTTTGAGACCATTGACAGAAGAAAACAAACAGGGCCTTTTTTTCGGAGGGCGGAGTTTATTTGCTCAGCAGATAAGTCAAGGATATTATCAACATTGACCGAAAGGTACCTCTTTATAAAAATAAACATTTGGGTTGAGCACATGGGTGATGAATTGTTTTGGCAAGGACCAAAGTTTTTCCGCCATTTTGCGGTCAGCTTCAATCTGCCATCAACTCTACTGGGCCTGCTTTGTTGTCGCTCGATATAAATCCATCCAGTCATCCTGAAATGTAAATGTTTGTCTCAGCAGTTAGTTGAGTCAACCGTGGTTGAATTTAGCCAACTGAGGCTAACTCGATTTTTCTGTTGGGAAAACCTGCTTGAAAAACAGGCCTTGATTTACAACTGTTCGTTTTGCAAGTGGTTCGGAGTTCCGTAAATACGAGCCAGCCGTGTGCTTCAGCTGCCCAAAAAACCCAACACAGTCCTGGGCTGCATTTTTTTTTTTTTAATTTGATTTATATGCCGCCCTTCTCCGGAGACTCAGGGCGGCTTACAATGCGTTAAGCAATAGCCTTCATACTTTTGTATATTTTATACAAAGTCAGCTTATTGCCCCCACAAACTGGGTCCTCAATTTACCTACCTTAGAAAGGATGGAAGGGCTGAGTCAACCTTGAGCCTGGCAAGATTCAAACTTACTTTAATTGCAGACAGCTGGTGTTAAATTACAGTCTGCAGAGCTATCCAGGCATTAACAGAGGGACAGAATCAAGATCGCGTATAATATTAATACCATTTGTAAGGCCTTGGTGAGGCCACGCTTGGAATACTGCATCCAGTTTTGGTCGCCACGATGTAAAAAAGATGTGGAGACTCTAGAAAGAGTGCAGAGAAGAGCAACAAAGATGATTAGGGGATTAGAGGTTAAAACATACGAAGAATGTTTGCTGGAATTGGTTTGGCTAGTCCATTGACGGCTAACCTTTTTCTTATCGTGTGTTGAAAGCGTGCACATGTGTTGGCACCCATAATGCAATGCGCCTCCCCCCTGCACCAGTGGTGGGATTCAAAAATTTCTACTACCGGTTCTGTGGGCATGGCTTGGTGGGCGTGGCATGGTTTGGTGAGCGTGGCAGGGGAAGAATACTGTAAAATCTCCATTCCCACCCCACTCCAGGGGAAGGTTACTGCAAAATCCCCATTTCCTCCCGATCAGCTGGGACTCAGGAGGCAGAGAAAAGATGGGGGCGGGGCCAGTCAGAGGTTGTATTTACCGGTTCTCCGAACTACTCAAAATTTCTGCTACCGGTTCTCCAGAACTGGACAGAACCTGCTGAATAGCACCTCTGCCCTGTGCATGCGTGCACACACACACACATTCTCCTCCTGCCCCCGCGTATGTGTGCGTGACTCCCCCCTGCCCCCCTGTTTTTGGCATAGCAGGCCTCCCTGCAGCCTCCTGGGCCCAAAAATGGGCCATGGGGGGGGGGGCTCGCCGCATCCCCCCACACTCCCTGCCCCCCGTTTATGCGTGCCCCCCTGCGCATGGGCACACATCTCCCGCATGCGCCCCGCCCCCTGCAAACCCCAAAAATCAGCTGGCCAGCAGGAGGCACATGCACGCATACATGGTGGAGCTGAGCTGAGCGACGGTTTGTGTGCCCACAGAGAGCTGTGGCACACCTGCCATAGGTTCGCCATCACGGGTCTAGTCTAACAAAAAGAAGGACTAGGGATTACATGAAAGCAGTGTTACCAATATTTGAGGGGCTGCCACAAAGAAGAGGGAGTCAAGCTGTTCTCTAAAGCACTTGAAGGCAGGACAAGAAGCAATGGACGGAAATTAATCAAGGAGAGAAGCAACTTAGAACTAAGGAGAAATTTCCTGACTGTGAGAACAATTAACCAGTGGAACAACTTGCCTCCAGAAGTTGTAAATGCTTCAACAGTGAAAATTTTTAAGAACCATTTGTCTGATTTGGTACAGGGTTTTCCTGCCTGAGCAGAGGATTGGATTAGATCCTTCCAAATCTGTTATTCTGTTTCAGTGGCACTGAATAAAGTGACTTATAACTGATCCTCGCACTTATGACTGTCGCGACATGATCAGAGTTTGGGCACTTGGCAACTGGCATTGATTTATGATATTTGCATAAATCCTGAGATCATGTGATTCCCCCTTTGCTATCTTCTCAGTTGGCTTCCAACAAGCCAAGTCAACGGGGAAAGCTGGATTTGCTGAACAACCACATGAATTTCTTAACAACCATGATATAAAGGTTGTAAAATCAGGTGCGGCTCACTTAATAACCACTTGCTCAGCAATGGAGATTCTGGCTCTAACTGTGGTCATAATTTGGGGACTACCTCCGTTACCCAAAATTATTTCAAAGATGTCCTCTGCTTGAAAATGCAATTATCGTTCAATTATACCGTATTCTATAGTAGTATTATGAGGTCAGCTCACAATACCAATTAAATTCTAGGCAGATTTTTTAATCTGCAACTACAAATCCTGTTTATATAACGATTAGAGCGGGTATATTGTTCCTAAAACTAGGATGGTGGCTACAATATATAAAATATATTTATATTATCTATCTATCTATCTATCTATCTATCTATCTATCTATCTATCTATCTATCTATCTATATCTATCATCTATCCATCTATCTTCTATCATCTATCTGTCTATCTATCTACGTATCTATCTATCTATCTATCATCTATCTTTCTATCTCTCTCTCTCTCTCTCTCTCTCTATCTATCTATCTATCATTTATCTTCTATCTATCATCTATCATCTATCTTCTATTTATCTATCTATCTTCTATCTTCTATCTTCTATCTATCTATCTTCTATCTATCATTTATCTATCATCTATCATCTATCTATCATCTATCTATCTATTTATCTACTATCTATCATCTATCTATCTATCTTCTATCATTTATCAATCTTCTATCTATCTATCTATCTATCTATCTTCTATCTACTATCTATCATTTATCTATCATCTATCTATCTATTATCTATCTATCTTTATCTATCATCTATCTATCTATCTTCTATCTATCATCTATCATCTATCTATCTTCTATCATTTATCTATCTTCTATCTATCATCTATCTATCTATCTTCTATCTATCATCTATCCATTTATCTATCTAACTATTTATCTTCTATCTATCTATCTATCTATCTATCTATCTATCTATCTATCTATCTATCTATCTATCTGTTTTCTATCTATCATCCATCTATCTATTATCTATCTATCTATCTATCTATCTATCTATCTATCTATCTATCTATCTATCTATCATCTATCTGCCATCATCTTAGTTTTAGGGACAATATACCTGCTCTAATCATTATATAAAAAGGATTTGTAGCTGCAGATTAAAAAATCTGCCTAGAACAGGGGGGTCAAATTCAAGGCCCGGGGGCTGCATCCGGCTGATGGGGTACTTAGATCTGGGCCACCGCAGGGCCACCCTGGAAACAGCGAAGGACCAGTCTGGGCTGTTTCTGTCAGTGAAAACGGGCTTCCGAGCTCCATTTTCGGGTGCCACGGCCTCCTGCAACCCTCTGCCAGTGAAAACGTTCAGCTACCACAGGCGCCCCCGACACGAGTGACGTCAAGCTGGCCACACCCATCCTGGCCACACCCCCCCCCCAGCCCACCGAGGTCAAACACAACCCTGATGCGGCCCTCAATGAAGTCGAGTTTGACACCCCTGGCCTAGAAAATCTCTCTCTCTCTAAAATAAAAACATGTTACTTTTTAAAAGCCAGTGGAAACAGCTGCACTCACTATTCTCCTTTTTCTTGTCTCCCCTGTAGCATATCTGCAAGCTTCGCGGGCCCTCATGATCACTGCGCTGGTCCTGGGTTTCTTAGCGATTATGAGCAGCATGCTGGGCTTACAGTGCACCAAAGTGGCCGAAAACAACCCCAATGCGAAAGCCAAGTTGGCGGTCATAGGAGGCAGTTTGTTCATCCTGGCTGGTAAGCTTTCTTCTGTACAGATAGTCCTCGACTGACGAGCACAACGCCGTCCCCAAATTTCTCCTCGCTAAGGGAAACATTGGTTAAGTGCGTTTTGGCCCCATTGTACGACTTTTCCTGACCCCGTTGTAAAGTGAATCATTGCATATGTTAAATTGGCGACATGGTGATTAGGTGAATCTGGATTCTCCCTTGACTTTGCTTGTCCAAAGGTCGCTAAAGGGGATCACGTGATACCCAGGGGTGAAATGCTACCGGTTTGCTCCAGTTTGGGCAAACTGGTAGCGGCGGTGGTGTGTGGTTTGGCGAACTGGTAGCGGCGGCAGCATGAGGCTCTGCCTACCTGCCCGGATGTCTTTACCAGGAAGTAATCTGTTTTTTACCCTCTGTGCATGCACAAAAGGCTTTGCGCATGCTCAGAGGTCCAAAATCGGACATGAAGATGGCGTACGTGCGGTTCCAAACTGGTAGGGAAGGTAAGTAGATTTCACCCCTGGTGAAATTTTGATCACGTGACCATGGGGGAGGATGCAACAGTCCTCAAAAATGGTAATTAAATCTCTTTTTTTCAGCGCCATTGTAACTTTTTTTTTGAAAATGTTTTTTATTTCTCTCCCCCCCATAAATGTATCTTAAATGTACAGTTTCTTATCTAACATACATATTTTCTTTTAGCTTTCATACTTTGTTCATCCTAAACAATTTAAGTATATTCGGGGTTGCTCTTCTACCATTTCATCTCCCTTGTTTTACAACAATCCTTCTTCTCCCTCTCCTCTCTTTCCTTTCCCTCTCTTCTTCCATCTACTCTTCTACTTTCTTCTTTCCTCCTCTCCTTCTTGTTTTCCCTCTCTTTCTTCCTCTCCTTTTCCCTTTCTTCTTTCCCTCTCTCTTTCTCCTTCTCTCCTTCCCCTTCCTTTCCCCCCACACCTCCCTTCTTCCTCCCTTCTAACCTTCTCTTCTACTCGTTTCCCCTCTCTTTCTTCCTCTCCTTTTCCCCTTCGTCTTTCCCTCTCTCGCCTTCTCCTTCTCTCCTTCCCCTTCCTTTCCCCCCACACCTTCCTTCTTCCTCCCTTCTAACCTTCTCTCCTACTCGTTTCCCCTCTTTCTTCCTCTCCTTTTCCCTTTCTTCTTTCCCTCTCTCCTTCCTCTCTTCTCTCCTCTATCCCTCTCCATTCTCTCTCTATTGTTGTATTCATTTTCAAATTAGTATTTTTCAAAGTGGCGTTGTAACTTTGAACTACATGTATAAGGATACTCTACTAATATTTTCACTTAAAAAAAAAAACATGGTGGAGAAACATTTAGCCATTGCTGATAGAAAACATGGATTTTGTGTGTTCTCTCGTTGCCACAATGCTTCTTGTGGTTTTTTATTATTTGATTCAATTTGTGTATTACTTGATTCAATTTGTACAGCTGCGCATTTGTGAGTCTTCTTCCAAATGAAGGCATTGTCCTTCTCTCTAGATCAGGGGTGTCAAACTCAAGGCCCGGGGGCCGGGATTTGGCCCATGGGGGGCTTAGATCTGGCCTGTGGGCCCGCCCTGGAAACAGCAAAGGACTGGCCCGCAGTGCGGCCCTCTGCCAGCAAAAATGGAGCTTGGGAGGGTCGCGTGCACTCCCCCCGGCTCCATTTTTGGCCGCGATGGCCTCCTGCAACCCTCTGCCAGTGAAAATGGAGCCCGGATGGGCCGTCGTGGCTGAAAACAGAGCCTTGATAAGTGACGTTGAGCTGGCCATGCCCCCTGGCCACACCCCGCCCCCGCCCCCAGGTCAAACACAATCCTGATGCAGGCCTCAATTACCGTATTTTTCAGAGTGTAAGACGCACCTTAGTTTTTGGCCTCTGCCTCCCAGGTATTCATCTGGCTAGAATCCATAGCCTGGTCAGCTTCAGCACATTAGTTTGCTGGTTGTGAGCGTGCGCGCATTGGGGCTGATAAGCAGCTTCAGCACAACTGAACGTCGGAGGGAGCTCCAGTGAGTAAAGCAGGCGAAGCGCGGAAGCGGTAATACAAGGCAGCAGCTGTTCCAGGTTGCCATTTTGGGCTCTGCGCCTCACGTTTTCAGCCTCCAAACGCTCCATTTGAGAGCCGTTCAAGGCTTCAGAGATTGCCAAAGCACATCGCCGCCAATCGCCGCCCGAAAATGCAACACACAGAGGCCAAAAATGGGGCCTGCGGAGACCTAAAATGTGATGTGCAGAGGCCGAAAACGCAGAGGCAGCGATGTGCTTTGGCGATCCCCGTAGCCTTGAACGGCTCTCAAACGGAACGTTTGGAGGCTGAAAACGCGGGGCACGGAGCCCAAAAATGTAAGCCATTGTCCGTGGCAATCTCTGCAGCCACGAAGAGGACATGCGGAGGCCGAAGGGTGGGGGCCGGCGGGTGGTCGGGGCTACATTCAGAGTATAAGATGCACTCAAATTTTCAACCTCTTTTAGGGGGGAAAAGTGTGTCTTACACGCCAAAAAATATGGTAAATTGAGTCTACACCCCTGCTGTAGATGATCCTTTGGCCCTCCAGCTATCGGGTTTCCCAAAAAGCAAATCCTGACAATCCACTTATCGGTTCACCCCAAAGCTATTTCTCACCCCAAATATCTTTTTTCAATCTCCCTATTCAGGTCTTTGCGGGATGGTGACCGTTTCATGGTACGCCTTCAATATCACCCGGGATTTTTTTAACCCGCTGTTTGTTGGGACAAAGTAAGTATCCAACAGGTGGATCCATATTCTTTTTTTTTTTTTTTCTCGGCGTATCCTGGGTCTAAGGCTGAAAAAAGAAAATGGCAGGAGGGACCATTTATTGATTTATATATTATTTGTATGCCGCCGTTGAGCAGCCTGGTGGCCTAGTGGTAAAAATGCTCGCATTCCATTCAGAAGGTTGAAAGTTAGCTGAAGGTTAGTTGAAGGTTGACTAGGTAGTGGCAGATGTTTCTCTCCTAGGGCCCAAAGAAAAAATATCTACTGTGATCTCCATGTAGCCATCAGGAAGGGGATAAGAGCCTTGGTACTACAGGGGTTTAAGGCACCCTGTTATTAAGCTGGTTATTAAGACCAGCTGCCTGCAATTACTGCAGGGTTCGAATCTCGCCAAGGCTCAAGGTTGACTCAGCCTTCCATCCTTTCTAAGGTAGGTGAAATGAGGACCCAGTTTGTGGGGGCAATAAGCTGACTTTGTATAAATATACAAAAGGATGAAGGCTATTGCTGAGCACATTGTAAGCCGCCCTGAGTCTTCGGAAAAGGGCGGCATATAAATCAAATTAAAAATAAAAAAAATAAATAAAAAATCTGTCCAGTAAACGCTCAGCTCTAACCATTCACCACAACTCTAGCCTGAATTAAGGAATTACAGGGTTGTAAAAAGGGAGTTTTATTTATATCCCCACCTTTATTATTTTTTCAAATAATGCAAGGTGGAAAACATTTAGAGCCTTGGTGGCGCAGCAGTCTAAAGTGCTGTTAAGTAACACCAGCTGCCTGCAATTACTGCAAGTTCAAATCTCACCAGGCTCAAGGTTGACTCAGCCTTCCATCCTTTCAAGGTAGGTAAAATGAGGACCCAGATTGTGGGGGCAATAAGCTGACTTTGGATAAAAAAGAATACCGCTTGGGGGGCCCCAAAAGCCCTACTAAGCAGGTATATACAAAAAGTATGAAGGCTATTGCTTAACGCATTGTAAGCCGCCCTGAGTCTCCAGAGAAGGGCGGCATATAAATCGAACCAATAAAATAAATAAATACAATAAATAAATATCCAGCACACCTTCCTTCTCCTATTTCCTCCACAATGCCAACCCGGTGAGGTGAGCTGGGAGAAAGAGGGACTGGCCCAAGGTCACCCAACTGGCTTTCCTGCCTAAGGTGAGACTAGAACTCACTGTCTCCCTCTATAGAATAGAATAGAATAGAAAATATGGAATGGAGTGGAGTGGAGTGGAGTGGAGTTGAATAGAGTAGAACAGAACAGAACAGAACAGAACAGAATAGAATAGAAAATATGGAATGGAATGGAATGGAATGGAATAGAGTGTAGTAGAATGGAATGGAATGGAGTAGAGTAGAGTAGAGTAGAGTAGAGTAGAGTAGAGTAGAGTAGAATGAGTATTTTACTCTACTCTAGTAGAATAGAGTAGAATAGAATAGAACAGAATACAGAAGAGAGTAGAGTAGAAGAGAAGAGAAGAGAGAATAGAAGAGAGTAGACTAGAATAGAGAACAGAGTAGAGTAGGTTAGAATAGAGTAGAGTTGAATAGAATAGAGTAGAACATAACATAACATAACATAACATAACAGAACAGAACAGAACAGAACAGAACAGAACAGAACAGAACAGAACAACAGAATAGAATTCTTTATTGGCCAAGTGTGATTGGACACACAAGGAATTTCTCTCCGGTGCATAACCTCTCAGTGTAAATACAAACAACAAAGTGATACGTCATAGATCATAAATCATAAGATACAATCATCAATCATAAGAGACAAATGGCAATTGAGAAATCATAATATACCAACAGGAAAAGGTAGTAGGAAATATGGGACGATGAGAAAGATAAGAAGAATGACAAGGATAATAGCAATACAGCCCTACTACATGGGTAAATATCTTTAGGACTAAGACAATGCTGTAGGACTTACCGTGTTTCCCCAAAAATAAGACCCTGTCTTATATTTTTTTGAACTCTGAAATAGGCGCTTGGCCTTATTGCCATGCACTCAAAAGCCCGATTGGGCTTATTATCAGGGAATGTCTTATTTTGGGGGAAACAGGGTAGGTGTTCAGCAGTGATGGCATGGGAGAAATTATGTCTAAGTTGTTTTGGCATGCAATGTCCTATAGTCGGCATCTTAATCTTAATGAGCCCAATATGAAGGATTTTTAACAATTTCTTGCTCCTACTGCAGAAGGTTGAAACAGATTGTTCGGATTCTTTTTTTTTTTTCCTGATGAGATGGAATAATTAAACAATTGATTAATGTTGCCTTTGGATCTCAAGTTAAGTTCCTACTTAAAGATGTTGCTTGCTAGGAGACTTTTGAGCCAATCCTTCTGACTCACCCTTCCGGATAGAGAGGGGTTAAAACCAGAGGTGGGATTGAGCCGGTTCTATCCGGTTCAAGCGAACCGGTAGTGGCAACTGTGAGAGACTACATCCACCCGCTCGGATGTAATGCGCGAGCACTGTGCGTGCGCGGAAGGGCGCGCTCACATTTGCAAACCGGTAGGGAAGGTAAGTGAATCCCACCTCTGGTTAAAACCCCTCCCATAGATCCAGAAAAGTGAATTGTCAATGCATCAATCAATCAACCAACGAGCCCACCAATCAATTACACCCCTTTTGTTTATTCAGATACGAAATTGGACCTGCCTTATATCTAGGCTGGAGTGCTTCCTTGCTGGTGATCATCGGAGGCTGCTTCCTATTCAGTTCCTGTCGGAACAACCCATCCCAGGACAACAGGTGAGAGAGAGAGAGAGAGCAGGGCCGCCGTGCCAAATACAGGTAGTCCTCGATTTATGCCCACAGTCGAGCCCGACATTTCTGTGGTTGAGTGGATTTTGCCCCAATTTACCACCTGTTTTGTCACAGTTGTTAAGTGAATCACTGGAGTTGTTAAGTTAGTAACGTGGCTGCTAAGTGAATCAGGCTTCCCTAGTGACTTTTTGTTCTGACCCAGCTCCCCAAACACGACAAACCCTCTGAAGTTAACTTAAAGATTCCTTTATTAGGGGTGCCTGCAGCCCAGGCAAAAAGTTTCGCTCTCACCGCAGGCTAACAAGTCCATCCGTCCGGGAGATGAATAATTGTCTGCCCAGAGCTAGGGGGGGGCTTCGCTAGCAGCAGTGACTCTTCCGTCCCAAGGATCGGCCCATAGATTTCCACTGCTCTCCTCTCCTCTGCCTTCTGCACATCCGTGCGTCAGGCACTAGACCCAGCTGTTCCTCCTCTTCCTCATCAGCCACCTCCAGACCTGGGGGCTGTTGACTCTCCATCTGAGGGCTGACAGATGGCCCAGGCTCCACCTCTGTCTCTCTCTCTCTCTCTCTGCCAGCTCCATTCCCTCTTCCCCCTCGGAGCTCTCAGGCTTCCTTGACACTGACCCTGACTCCCACGCCTCCTCCTCCTCCGATTCGGCTGCTGGAGGGCCCGGCGGCCGACAAGCCACAATCCTTTTCCTTGTTAGAAGGTCACAAAAAAAAAAGGGATCACGTGACACCCCCCCCCCCCCGGGACACTGCGACGATCATAAATATGAGTCAGTTGCCAAACTGACTGAATTTTGATCACACGAACATGGGGATGCCGCAACAACCATCAGTATGAAAAACGGGTCACAGCTTAAGTCCCTTTTTTCCAGCGCGGTTATAATTTTGAACGGTCACTAAACCAAGATGTTGTAAGTCAAGGACTACCTGTACTTTTCTGAAATCTTATTGAATCCAAAGACTGACATCTCCCTCTTCTGCTCCTAGCTACACGTATCCCTACAAAGCTCCCAAGGTTGGCATGGCAGCTCACAACCCCTCGGTCTCTCATCCGCGCAGAGAGTCCAACACCAGCAGTAACGGCCAGTATGGTAAGAATGCCTATGTCTAACCTGGGAAATGGTGGATCAGGACATCCCATCGTTTTGGATGCTTCCCTGGGAACGCAGAAGGCCAAAGACTCTTCCAAAATTGACCCGACCCGTACCAAGGAAGAACTATTTTTTATCCTTCGGTTTCGGACTTTCTTACATCGTGAGGATGCTCTGAACCTAAAGATGGACTGAAGGCATGTTTCTGGATCTGATCCTGGCCAATGCCACATTGGGCAAATTTATTTATTGCCAAGAAGTGTATAATGGACTTTTAATATACATATATATATGTTTCTATAGAGGTATTCAGCAAGGATGGAGATTGCTTCTCAGATTTTTGATGCCTGTTGTTCAGAAGAATTGATGTTGCCACTGACCGGGATTGAAACTCACGTTAAATCACCTCCTGTGGTTTGTCACTCAAGGGGAGACATGAATGTACTGTGTGTGTGAGACAACTGATCCATGCTTGGAGGACATCACAACTGGAGGCCTACTCCTAATTCACAATTCTAAAATAATCCTAATAGTGTGGAGATTAAACCTCCCAATTGGGTGTATAGGTTTCCCTCAAGTCAACACTCCTAACCGATGGAGATGCTAAATTGTGTGTGAATGTGTGTGTGTGTGTGTGTGAAACCTTTTTAGGGGAAAATGGAAGTCAACCGTTGGATCGAATGAGACTGTTATTACGATTGCCTGAAAAAAAAATCTCCTCAGCACAGGAGCCAAGCATCCAGGAAGACCTTAAATTTTGAAAAACATGCCATGTTCACAACCCTAGCAACTTTATGTTGTGTGGACTTCAGTTTCAAGAATAGCTGACTGGGGGAATTCTGGGAGCTGAAGTCCACACATCTTCAAGTTGTCAAGGTTGAGACGCATTGGGGATATGGCTTATTCTGATTCGTTGTCTTCTGAGAATTGACTGTCCTGTGTTGGAGCACTTCAACCTATGGATATTGTGGTAACCCACCTTTCCCCAAAAAGTAACGTTCAGGATGGAGTTTAGCAGCCGGTCATCTGCTAACTCCATGTATCTGGAGAGCAAGTTTGAGATCTTTAGAAGAAAAATGGACCTGGGTAATTGGTTTCTGTTTCTTCAAGGACAGGGCAGGGGTGAAATCCAGCAGGTTCTGACAGGTTCTGGAGAACCGGTAGCAGAAATTTTGAGCAGTTCGGAGAAGCAGTAGTGGAAATTTTGAGTAGTTCGGAGAACCAGTAGTGGAAATTTTGAGCAAGTTCGGAGAAGCGGTAGCGGAAATTTTGAGCAGTTCGGAGAGCCTGGATAGCTCAACAGACTAAAAGCCTGTTATTAACATTCAGCTGTCTGCAATTATTGCAAGTTCGAATCTCCCCAGGCTCAAGGTTGACTCAGCCTTCCATCCTTTCTAAGGTAGGTAAATTGAGGACCCAGTTTGTGGGGGCAATAAGCTGACTTTGTATAAAATATACAAAAGTATGAAGGCTATTGCTTAACGCATTGTAAGCCACCCTGAGTCTCCGGAGAAGGGCGGCATATAAATCTAATTTAAAAAAAAAAAAAAAACGGTAGCGGAAATTTCGAGTAGTTCGGAGAACTGGCAAAAACCACCTCTGGCTGGCCCCAGAGTGGGGTGGGAATGGAGATTTTGCAGTATCCTTCCCCTGGAGTGGGGAGGGAATGGGGATTTTACAGTATCATTCCCCTGGAGTGGGGTGGAAATGGAGATTTTGCAGTATCCTTCCCCTGCCACGCCCACCAAGTCACACCCATAGAACCGGTAGTAAAAAAAATTGGATTTCACCACTGGGACAGGGATGTCAAACACAAGGCCCGTGGGCCGGATCTGGCCTGCGAGGTGGTCGGATCCAGCTTGCGGGGCCATCCTGGAAAATTTGAGGGGCCGGCCTATGTCGCTTCAGCCCGGTCTACCCAATGCGAAGAGGCAACATCGGGTCAGCTGTTTGGGGGAGTGGCGTTAAGCTGGCCAGGCCCACCCAGTTGGCCACACCCACCTAGTTGGCCACGCCACCCCTGAGGTCAACCACAGCCCTAATGCGGCCCTCAATGAAATTGAGTTTGACACCCTTGTTCAAGAAGGAAATGAAAGTACAGTCAAGAGAAAGAGGGAATCCTTCCCATTCTGAGATCTGACAGACTTTCAAATACTTCATAGGTTTCTTAATTAACCCTTAACAACTTAAGACATGGGGACTTCCACTCCCAGAATTCCCTACCCAGAGGGATTCTGGGAATTGAAGTCCACCCATCTTCAACGGTACAGCTTGAGAAACGCTGGTTTATAGGATTCATCCTTTAGATTTATTATTGCACAAGAAAGTTAAGAAGGAAGCAGAACAGGAGTTTTAGCTATTTATTTTTGGGCTAAGTACTGATCAAATGGAAGAAACTGAGCAAAGAGTGATCTGGCTTCCTTCCTACCTGCCCAAGTATTGGAACGACACGAGGACATTTTGAACGGTGTCGCGTCTTGGAACTACAAGCTTCTCCTTCCTGCCCAGCTGGCTGCTGTGGAGTACAACTCAAAAAGTTTATTGTCGTATGTTTTTAAAAAAGAAAGAAGTAAACATGTCTGTGACCTGTTTTGTATAAAGACACACTGTTTGCAACTGCAGTGCCCAACGTTGGGTTGTCGTCTTTGGAATTGCAACATGGAAAGTCGGAAAGGGTGGGAGGGGAGGGGGAACAGGGGTGAAATGCTACCGGTTCGCATGGTTCGGGCAAACCGGCAGTAAAAAAAAAAGCTACCGGTTCGTCTGAACTGGTATTTCCGACGATCAGCTGTGCCGCACGATTTATATTCGCTAGAAAGCAGAAAATCTAGAAATCTAAATTGCGTGACACAGCTGTTCCCCCCCCCACTGTTCTACTTACCTTAAGCCTCCTTCTGCCGTGCAAAGCGTGCGTTTGGTGTGCACAGCGTGTTTAGTGTGCACTGTGCATGTGTGTGCAGCATGCATTTGGCGCACACAGTGCGTGCATGTACGTGCAGCGTCCGTTTGACGCGCACCCCACATGTGCGGGCAGCAAACTGGTGGCAAACGGCAGAGGATTTCACTTCTGGAGGGGAGATCAGTCAATTAATCTTATTGAATTAAATGATCTAATCAGCTGGGGAGGGGTTGCTCAGGGGAGCACCCGTGCATTTCAACCTCATCTCTGGTTTGAGCCCGGCCATATCACATTTATATATCACTTCATAGTGCTTGACAGCACTAAGTGGTTCACAAAGCCAGCCTATTGCTCCCAACCATCTGGATCCTCGTTTTTTACCGACTTCGGAAGGATGCAAGGCTGAATTAGCTTTAATCTGGCCAGGATCGAACTCCTGGCTGTGTGCAGAGTTAGTCTGCAATACTTACTGCATTCTAACCACAGCTCTTGCAATCCAGCATCCGTAAAAAGATTTTACTAAATCTATGTGCTTCTCGTTTACACATAAATTCTCCTGGTTGAGGATTTGAACTAGGAGTGGTGAGACCCGAGTTCTAATCTACCATTAGCCAGAGAAGAACCCCTGGTTAGCTTTAGATCAGTCACATTGAACCGGTCTGCCCAGTCTATACTTGGTTTTATTTGTTATGGGGAGAAACAAGCCTGTAGTACAGTGGACTAAAGCACTGTGATTAACAACTGCTGCTTGCAATTACTGCAAGTTCAAATCTCCCCAGGCTCAAGGTTGACTCAGCCTTCCATCCTTTCAAAGGTAGGTGATATGAGGACCCAGATTGTGGGGGCAATAAGATGACTTTGTATAAATATACAAAAGTATGAAGGCTATTGCTTAACGCATTGTAAGCCACCCTGAGTCTCCGGAGAAGGGCGGCATATAAATTAAATATAATATAAGGGCGGCATATAAATATAAATTTAATTTTTAATTAAAATTAAAAAAAAAATCGGAAGAGACAACACAGCCTTGAATTGTGGAACACAAGCCAGCACGTAAATTTCCATGTTGTCCTTGAGTTAGGACTACATTTGGGGCCAGGATTCATTGCTAAGCCAAGGCGGCCGCTAAGAGAGTCACATCTGATTTTACAACTGTTTTGGCCATGGTTCTTAAGCAAACCACTGCAGTCCTTAAATGAATCACATGGTTAAGCAAATCCAGCTTCCCACATTGACTTTGCTTGCTGGAAACAGGTTGGGAAGGTTGGAAATGAGAGTCATGCAACGCCAGGATGCTGCAATTATCATAAATACAAGTAGTCCTTGACTTACAACAGTTCACTTTAGTGACCGTCTGAAGTTACAGCGGCACTGAAAAATGTGGCTTATGACCGTTTTTTTGCACTTACGACCGCTGCAGCATCCCCATAGTCACGTGACGAAAATTCAGATTTATGACGATTGCAGTATTCTGGGCTGATGTCGTGTACCTTTTGACAAGCAAAGTCAATGGGGAAGCCAGATTCACTTAACAACCATGTTACTAACTTAACAAACTGAACACCGGTAGCAAGAAAAGTTGTAAACTGTTACTAACTTAACAACTGAAAACTGGTGGCAAGAAAAGTCATAAAATGGGGGAGAAAAAAAAAAACCTCACTTAACAAATGTCTCACTTGGCCACTGAAATTTTGGGCTCAATTGTGGTCGTACGTCGAGGACTACCTGTACTTGTCAGTGGCCAAATGCATGAATTTTGGATCACGTGCCTGTAGGGATGCTACAAGAGTTGTGTGAGGACTAATAGTAAGTCACTTTTTTCCATACCGCTGTTACTTTGAGCGGTTGTTAAACTAATTATTGTAAATCAAGGATTACCGCATTTTTTGGAGTATAAGATGCTCCAGAGTATAAAACGCACCTTAGTTTTTGAGGAGGAAAATAGGAAAAAAATATCTGCCTCTGCCTACAGGTATTCATCTGGCTAACATCCTTAGCTTCGGCACATTAGTTTGCTGGTTGTGAGTATGCATTGGGGCTGATAAGCAGCTTCAAAAGCACAGCTGATCATCGGAGGGAGCTCCGGTGAGTAAAGCAGGCGAAACGCGGAAGCGGTAAGACAAGGCAGCAGCTGTTCCGGGTTGCCATTTTGGCCTCCGCACCTCGTGTTTTCAGCCCCCAAATGCTCCATTTGAGAGGCATTCAAGACTGGGGGGATTGTCAAAGCACATCGATGCCAATCGATGCCCAAAAATGTGACACGCAGAGGCCAAAAATGGGGCGTGTGGAGGTCGAAAATGCAACGCGCAGAGGCGGCAATGTGCTTTGGTGATTCCTGCAGCCTTGAACGTCTCTCAAAAGGAGCGTTTGGAGCAGGGGTGAAATCCAGCAGGTTCTGACAGGTTCTGGAGAACCGATAGCAGAACTTTTGAGCAGTTTGGAGAACTGGCAGCGGAAATTTTGAGTAGTTCTGTGAACCGGCAAAAACCACCTCTGGCTGGCCCCAGAGTGGGGTGGGAATGGAGATTTTGCAATATCCTTCCCCCAGGAGTGGGAGGGAATGGAGATTTTGCAGTATCCTTCCCCTGCCACGCCCACAGAACCGGTAGTAAAAAAAAAAATTTGAATTTCACCACTGGTTTGGAGGCTGAAAACGTGAGGCGCGGAGCCCAAAAATGCAAACCATTGTCTGAGGCAATCTCTCCAGCCAGGAAGAGGATGCATGGAGACTGAACGGTGGGGGCCAGTGGGTGGGCGGGGCTACATTCGGAGTATAAGGCGCACACAAATTTTCAGCCTCTTTTGGGGAGGAGGAGAAGTGCGTCTTATACTCCCAAAGATACGGTATCTGCAATAAATAGGGAAGCAACTTCTGTGTATCTTTCAGCAATTTAAGGTTCCCCAGATCTTCCACTTTTCTATCCTGCTCTACGGAGGGGAGAATTTGTCCCTGACAAAAAGCCACTTGAAGGGACTAGAAGCATTTGAAATGTGGAATTACAGGCGGCTGTTACGTATAACCTAGGTTGACAAAATCAGAAACGAGGAGGGGATAAGCCGCTTGGAAAAGCCAAGGGAAATCATCAAAACCATTAAAAAATATTAAGAATATTTTGGACATGCAATGCGACACCCAGAAAAATACAGCATCCTTCACTTAATCCTCCAAGGAAAGATTGAAGGCAAAACGAGGTCCTGGCAGAAGAAAATGATCATGGCTTCCAAATCTAAGAGACCAGTTTGGACAAAATTCAGCAGCACTTTTTCCTGTTAATAAAAATAGGATCGCCAACATGATTGCCAAAGAGGAGGAAGAAGGAGGAAGACTAGAAGCCAAGCGTCCCTCACCCTTCGTAGCTGATCTGTTAGCTGGTACACCATACTAGTCCTCAAGGAGGAAAATAAACTGAGTCATACCCTGCAGGTGAGTGCCGTCCTGGGACTTTCTTCTCAGGCGATACAAAGGCATGCCAAGGATTGTGAAAATTGGGGGAGAAAAAACAATTACCTCGAGAGAAAATAAGTCTCCATTTTCTTCTTTGAAATACTTAAGTGTTGTGCCATTCCTGTGTTAACGTGATAGAGAAGGCAGCCCAGGGAAAGGTTTCCACCTGGACCAGGGTAGGTTTTTCTTCCCTACCACTGTGCCCTGAACATACCTGGGACATGGTGCAAGGCACATGTACTTTAGAAGCAAGGCCATCAAAGCTGGAGGCCTTCTTTACAGATCAACATTGAGGGTTGTGGCTACAGTTGTTCCCAAATTCTTGCAAACAAGCCTGAGACAAAGCTGAATTCTATATTCCATTCCATTTTCTATTCTCTATTAATATTCTATTCCAGTGATGGCTAACCTTTTTGCCATCTCGTGCAAAAAGTGGGGGGAGTGTGGGGGGGGGTCGCACGCGTGTGTGCCCACACCCTTAATTCTATGCGCCCTGCCTCCCCGTCCATGCGTGCACGACCCCCCTGCACTCCCCCCGCGCGCTTTTGGCACGCAATGGCACTGTGGGCCCGGTAGGCCCATTTTTCACTCTCCCCAGGCTCCAGAGCCTTTCTAGGAGCCTGGGGAGGGTGAAAACGGCCTTCCCCACACCCCCAGAGGCCCTCCAGAGGCTGGAAACAGCATGTTTCCTGACTTCTGGTGGACCCAGAAGGCCCGAAAATCAGATGGCCGGAGCTGAGCTTGCGTGCCCACCAATATGGCTCTGTGTGCTACCTGTGGCACGCGTGCCATAGGTTCGCCATCACGGTTCTATTCTATTCTACTCTATTCTCTCTTCTCTTCTCTTCTCTTCTCTTCTCTTCTCTTCTCTTCTCTTCTCTTCTCTTCTCTTCTCTTCTTCTCTACTCGCTTCTCCTCTTCTCTCTTCTCTTCTCTACTCTACTCACTCTATTCCATTCCATATTAAAAAAAAATTGGTAGTGTCTTTAAAATACAATACAATTTAAAATAAATAAAAAATTAAATTTTAAAATAAATTTAAAATAAAATAAAATTTAAAATACAATAAGGGGACACGGTGGCTCAGCGGCTAAGACGCTGAGCTTGTCGATCGAAAGGTCGGCAGTTCAGCAGTTCGAATCCCTTGTGCCACTTAACGGGGTGAGCTCCCGTTACTTCCCCCAGCTTCTGCCAACCTAGCAGTTCGAAAGCACATAAAAAATGCAAGTAGAAAAAATAGGGACCATCTTTGGTGGGAAGGTAACAGCGTTCAGTGCGCCTTTGGGGTTTAGTCATGCCGGACACATGACCACGGAGACGTCTTTGGACAGTGCTTCGTCTTTGAAACGGAGATGAGCACCGCCCCCTAGAGTCGGGAACGCCTAGCACATATGCACGAGGGGAACCTTTACCTTTACCTTTTAAAATACAAAAATGGGTCAAAAGAGATGCTACACAACTAGCCCATATTGTTATGTTAAAACGAAGAGGAGGAATGGCTTATTTTTCAGCATCTTGCGGGCTTCGTACCACTTGCTTTTCTATCCTAAGAACCTTAAGTTGCAACTCTCAACTTACATGAAAGATCTGTCTGCCATCTCAGTAAAAACTGACAACACATACCTCAGCCTCCCCAAAAGAGGCAAATCAACGACTTCTATTCATTTTCTATCCTATCCTATCCTTCTGTTCTGTTCTACTCTACCTTACTAAATTCTGACAGCAATGGGTCAGAATAACACAGTTGGACAGGACCTCCGCTCAAGCAGGAGACCCTATACCAGTGATGGCTAACCTTTTCTGGACCGAGTGGCCAAAGCGTGTGCGTGCCTGAACCCCTAAAATGCACTGCGCGTGCGATCCCCGTGCATGCACCCCCCCCACTGCACATGAGTGTGTGCCAGTGGTGAAATGCTCCCGGTTCAGACCGGATCGGGTGACCCGGTAGCGATTGTGGCAGGTGGTTCGGAGAACCGGTAGCGATGGCGGTGCGAGGCTCCGCCCACCCGCCCGGGTGTCGTTACTTCCTGCTTTTAAAAGGTAAAAAAAAAATGCTCTGACGATCACAACTTTTTTGTGATCGTCACAAGGATTTTTCATCAGGTTCGCCTGATCCGCCAGTTGCATCCCTTTCTGGATCGGGACTCCCTACACACAGTCACTCATGCCCTCGTCACCTCCCGCCTAGACTATTGTAATGCTCTCTAAATGGGGCTCCCCTTGAGGAGCACGCGGAGGTTCCAACTGGCGCAGAGTGCGGCCGCGCAGGTGGTTATGGGAGCAACATGGCACTCCCGTGTAACACCTCTCCTGCACGAGCTGCACTGGCTCCCGGTGGTCTTCCGGGTGCGCTTCAAGGTTTTGGTTACCACCTTTAGAGCGCTCCATGGCTTAGGACCTGGTTATTTACGGGACCGCCTACTACCACAAATAGCCTCCCACCGGCCGGTACGCTCTCATAGAGAGGGTCTCCTCCGGGTGCCGTCAGCCAAGCAGTGTCGACTGGCGGCCCTCAGGGGGAGGGCCTTCTCTGTGGGGGCACCCACTATCTGGAACGAGCTCCCCTCGGAGATACGGAGGATCCCGGATCTGTGCACCTTCCGCCATGCTCTTAAGACCCTCTTATTCCAGCAAGCCGGCCTGGCCTATTTTTTCTCCCCTTTCTTTTAAATTTTAAATTGAAATTTTAATTTGTTTTAAATTTATTGGGATTTTAATTGTCGTGGGCCAATATTATTTAATTTGGTTTTGTTTTTAACTTTTGTATTTTTGTATTTTATCCTGTGCCTGTTCACCGCCCTGAGTCCTTTGGGAGTAGGGCGGTATACAAATTTAATAAAACCTAAAAGCTAAACAACTGTGCCACACGATCGTCAGAGCAATTTTTTTAACCTTTTAAAAGCATTTTTTTTAACAACCTATCTGGGTGAATAGGTTGAAAAACAATGCTTTCATAAAATAATAATAATAAAAAAAGTTGGCCATGTCCACCCAGTCACATTACCCCACTATCAAGCCACACCCACAGAACCGGTAGTAACAAATTTTAAATTTCACCACTGGTGTGTGCCGCCCGCACGCCCCCTGCCCGTGTGCCCTGCATGTGCCCCTCATACGTGCTCCGCCTCCCATGTATGTGCGGCAGAGACCTGAAGACCAGCTGGCTGGTGGGGGCTGTGCGCGCATGCAGGGCGGAGCTGAATTGGAGCAACGGCTCACGTGCCCACAGAGAGGGCGCTGCGTGCCGCCACTGGGGCGCGTGCCATAGGTTCGCCATCACGGCCCACGGATGACAAGTGGCCATCCAATCTCTCCTTGAAACCTCCACTGATGGAGCATCCACAACTCCTGAAAGGAAGCTGTCCCACCACTGATTCATTGTTCTGTCAGGAAATTTCTCCTTAGTTCTAGGTTGGTTGTCTCCCCTTGATTTGTTTCCATCCGTGGTTTCTTAATTCTGCCTTCAGGTGCTTTGCAGAATGGGTCACAAGTGGGGAGGGGGGTCTCCCTTTTAAGATAATGTACAAAACAGTCCGAGCCGGAACAAAACACTGCGTTGGTCTAAAATGATTAATAAAACCAAAGTCTTATAAACAAATATAATCCTCTTGCCAGGGGTGGGCTTCAAAAATTTTAGCAAGGGGTTCTCTGCTTGGTTGCTGGGTGGGTGTGACCTAGTCGGCCGCCTGCACCACAGCAGTAGGGGAGCGTTTTTGCCCTCCCCGGGCTCCAGAAGTTTTCTTTGAGCCTCCGGGAGGGTGAAAACTGCCTCCCCAGGCTCCGTAGGCACTCCCAAACTTCCGGTAGGCCTGTTTTTCACCCTCCCAAGCCTCGCCCACCCTGACCCTGGTCGCTGGGTGGGGTGGCCTAGTCAGCCACCTGCACCACAGCAGTAGGGGAGCGTTTTTGCTCTCCCCAGGCTCCGGAGGCTTTCCTTGAGCCTCCGGGAGGTCGAAAACTGCCTCCCCTGGCTCCAGAGGCCCTCCCAAACTTCCGGTAGGTCTGTTTTTTGCTCTCCCCAAGCCTCGCCCACCCTGAGCCTGGTTGCTGGTTGGGCATGGTCTAGTTGGCCTCCTGCACCGCAGCAGTGGGGGAGTGTCTTTGCCTTCCCCGGGCTCCGGAGGCTTTTTTCGAGCCTGTGGGAGGGCGAAAACTGCCTCCCCAGGCTCCGGAGGCCCTCCCAAACTTCCGATAGGCCCGTTTTTCGCCCTCTCTGAGCCTCCGCGCGGGTCCTCCACTTACCTGCATCCAAAAAGGGCCGCGTGGGGACTCCTGGGAGGGGTGGGGTGGGCAGGGCCAGCCCGGAGTGGGATTGGGGGTTCTCCGAACGGCACAGAATCTTAGCTAGAGGTTCTCCTGAACCCCTGCAAACCCCCAGCAGCCCACCTCTGCCTCTTGCCCATTTTTGTGTGCGTGGATTGAGTGGTGTGTAACATTCACCTCCTTTTACTTGGATGACTTTAGAAAGCAAAACCAGGCAACAAGGAGCTTGGTTCCTATGTCGTATTTTTTCCACAGGATGAGACACTCAACACATGTTGTGTTCTCTCGGAATAAGTACACTTGAAACACGTTTGCAGAATGTTCCAAATCTGATCTATTTCCCTCAGAACTGGAAACAAAAACATTTCTGTTTTACGCACAGCCCTACCCCTCCGTCCTCCAGGCTCACCCAACTGCACCCAGTTTAAAACACCTCACTTTCAACCTGAGTTAAAATGTATTTTAGTTAGTCCCCCCCCCTTTTTTTCTTCTGGCTCAGAACTTCAGGAGGCAAATTATGTCGAAACCTTCAGCCTTCTTAACTCAGCACTTTTGGTCGCTTCCTCAACCTTTGCTCCAGCAAAAAATGCTAAAGGTTTGAGGGGGGGGCGGGGAAGAAATCAATTATTTCTGCAATACGAAACTTTTTAATCTTGACACTTTTCTCGGTAAAGACAGGATATTAATACCTCTCCTTAATCTCTTTTTTTTTTTTCCTTCCCTCCCCCGGACTCCGATGATAACAATTGAAGCAGACCGGGCTTTATATGACTGTACTAAATAAAAATGGAAGAGGAGGAGGAGGAGAAATTTTTTTTTTAACTAACTGTAGAAAATGAGGGCGTTCGCGGTCAGCGGGTAGAGCTGTTAGATTATACCTGAAAAATATTTAAATTCCAGGACAGAGGGGAATGTCACGGAAAGGATGAAAGCTATCAATTTTTGTCTCCGAATCCATACTGTTCTTCGGGTCCTCCTCCAGTATTTGAAAGAAGGAGCAGTCAATGTGCAAAACCAATATCTTATCAATAAAGAATACCATCCAGATAGGCTCAAAAGCAACCAAACCAATGTTATTTTTCTTCCTTTTTTCCCCCCAGTCTGACACAGTCTGGGGTTTCCTCCTCCTTCCAAGGTCAAACAAACTTTGCCCCCAAAGTTTATAACCCCCCCCCCCAAACGCACAACTCCTTCCCTACCAAGAGATGGCACAAAAACACAATTCTTGGCAGGGCCATCGGCCGAAACCGTCCCAAGGCGTGGCGCCACTCAAATGTCAACATGTCCGGCCAAGCTTTCCCTTTGGGAAGGTGAACTCAAAACGGCATGCTTTCCTTTTTAAAAAAAAAAGAAAGAGAGAGAAAAAAGGAAAAAGGATACACCTTCGCCTTGCTGGGATTTTAAAAATGAACGGTTTCCTTGGCAAAAAGGCCGGCGGGATCGTAGGACCGGCAGTGCTTCCCTGGGTCTTGCAGGCACAAAGAAGAACTTGAGAGATGTTTAGATGGGACTATAAGGATTGAGCTCAACCTAACTTTGGGAAACATCCCTAAGAAAGGACAGGTTTAAGGCTCTGCATGCATCGTAAATCCCCTTTTGCCGGTCAGTGTTTCGTGGGAATCGCAGCTAGGAGCGAGAGGCCGCCGTCTTCCTTGTGGTCCTGGGTTACTATCTCGAGGAGCAAACTTCCGGTCCTCTGGAAAGGGATACTTGAATATATAAATAAGGAAACTAACCTCCCTCCCCACCCCCAGTTCCATTTGCGTCGGGAGTTGTTATTGGTTCTCTTTGTGCATCAACTCGCTGGCCAAAAAGGTCTTGGGTGGGTGGGTGGGTGGGAGGCCGGCTCAAGCGGATTAATTAAAATGAAACTTAAAATGAAAGTTCCCGGAGCCAAAGGGGTTAAATTCGGACGCCCACTGGTGCTGATGTCCTGATCCTCCTTGTTGATTTTCCGGGTCTAAAGGATCCTCGCCCGAGTCGAATTTCTGTCGCATTTCTGGAAGGCGAGGGAGGGAAATGAGAGAATAACAGAATTGAAAAGGGACCTTGGAAGTCTTCTAGTCCAACCTCCCTACCCAAGCAGGAGAGCCTACGCCAGTGATGGCTAACCTTTTTGCCATCGCGTGCCAAAAGCAGGGGTCGCACGTGTGTGTGTTTGTGTGTGTGTGTTTGTCACGCGTGTGTCCACACTTATAATTATATGCGCCCCGCCCCCGTGCATGCACACACGTGACCCCCCCTGCGCTCCCCCCGCTTTTGGCACGCAATGGCACAGTAGGACCGGTAGGCCTGTTTTTTGCTCTCCCCAGGCTCCAGAGCCTCTCTAGGAGCCTGGGGAGGGTGAAAACTGCCTTCCCCACACCCCACAGGCCCTCCGGAGGCCAGAAACGGCCTCTTCCGGTCCCACGACATGAGTGACGTTGAGCTGGCCACACCCCTTTGCCACGCCGCCTCCCCACCTGAGGCCAAACACAACCCTGATGCAGCCCTCAATGAAATACTGTCAGGTTTCGATGTCGTCTCAAATAAAATAAATTGCATTTCCAAACAAATAATCTTTGAAGAAATCTTTCATTTTATTAAGCACGACAACCTGTCCCTGATTGTGGCGTAGCCAACAATGACTTCCTGACCTCAAACCTTCCCTTTCCGTTCCCCAATTCTCTGTGTCTCATTGGCCCTCTTCCATATCACTCTCCCCATATCTACTACTTCAGCTCCCAGGAATGTCCCCACTCCCATCTCATCTCCTAGGGGATATTATCTTCAAGGAAAATAAGTAGGTGAGAAGTCAAGCGTCCTCTTGCCAGCTGCCCCCTCTTCTCCTTCTTATGTCAGCACTAGAGGAAATGCAGGTTGAAGTGCTGACAAATACAGTTTGACAACACCGGGCTACATTAGTAGAATCTTGCAAGTCTGAAAGTACAAATCTCCCACCATCACCTTTTAACAATTAGGGAGGATCCTTTTTAAGCTTCTTTCTTTGCCCATTAAGCCATTGTGGGCTCCTCATGTTCTTATCTGAACCTTCCCTAGGCAGCATCTCTTCTCCTTTCCCACAAGGTCATGCCCACAAACCATTACAGATATTTACCCCATCCGCTGGTAGATACTTCCCCCTCTCTGGTTTTTTTGCTGTTGTCCCAAAAGCTGCTTTTTCAAAAGGCAACTGGACTTTTTTGGGGGGGTTGAAGACGCTTCGCTTCTCCTCCAAGAAGCATCCTCAGTTCTGACTGAATGCTGGGGAATGAATGCTGTACGCTCCAGCATTTGAGGTTTATTAAGAACAGATGAGAAAACTGCTTTGTCCCCAAACGCCTCCTTACCTGGATCTGTCAGGACCTCTTTAGCAGCTGCAATGTCGATGAATTTTTTCTCGGCTTCCTTTTTCTCATCTTCTGACTGGAAATTGTCAGGGTGCCACTGCTGAGCCAGCTTTCGGTACGCTTTGATGATCTCCTGCTTGTTGGCGTTCCTGCGGGGGGGCACGAGAAAGAGGCCTGTTTAGGATAGAGAGATCTGAAGCATGATCTCTTCGGGACCAGAAATCAGCTCCATGTTATGGATAATACCCAGGAGAAGCTCCATTTGTCTTTCTTCTGCTGGTGGGAATATGGAGGGCAGGGAGAATGGCAGATTGCAGGAGGCAAATTAAAAAGAAAACAACCAAAATTACTCCTTTTGTCTACAGTATGTCCACAATATGGGATGCGGTGGCTCAGTGGCTAAGACGCTGAGCTTGTCGATCGAAAAGCTCGGCAGTTCAGCCGTTCGAATCCCTAGTGCCGCGTAATGGAGTGAGCTCCCGTGACTTGTCCCAGCTTCTGCCAACCTAGCAGTTCGAAAGCTGGTAAAAAATGGAAGCAGAAAAATAGGGACCACCTCTGGTGGGAAGGTAACAGCGGTCCATGCGCCTTTGGGGTTTAGTCATGCCAGCCACATGACCACGGAGACGTCTTCGGACAGCACTGGCTCTTCGGCTTTGAAACGGAGATGAGCACCGCCCCCTAGAGTAGTGAACAACTAGAACATATATGTGAGGGGAACCTTTACTTTTACCTTTTTATGTCCACAATGCTATAATTATTGGAAATTTATATTCACATATACATTTATTTTTAACTACACTCCCATAAATGAGTTTAGAGCCCAAGTGGTGGTTTTTTCTCCCCTTCCTTTCTTTTCCTAAGCCACGGAGGCACAGTGGTTAGAGTGCAGTACTGCAGGCTACTTCTGCTGCCTGCTAGCTGCCTGCAATTTGGCAGTTCAAATCTCACCAGGCTGAAGGTTGACTCAGCCTTCCATCCTTCCGAAGTAGGTAACATGAGGGCCCAAATTGTTGGGGGCAATATGCTGACTCTGTAAACCGCTTAAGAGAGGGCTGAAAAGCACTGTAAAGCAGAATACAAGTCTAAGTGCTATTGCTTCTCACCTAATATATAAAGATAGTCCAAGATGGGGAACTTATGGTGCTTCCAGAAGTTGTGAATTACAATTCCCAGCAGCCAGCAGGGTCAAAAATGGAGGATTTGGGGGCTCTAGTGGGGGCAGGTATGATAGCCCAGCGGTTAAAGATGCTGAGCTTGTAAAAAGCCGACAGCCAAGGTTCGAGACCCGAGCGCCACACGAAGGGGTGAACCCCAGCTCCTGCTCACCTAGCAGTTCGAAAGCAGGCAAATGCGAATAGATAAATAGGTACCACTTCGGTGGGAAGGAAACAGCATTCTATGCGTGTTGGCGTATATTCATGCTGCCACATAACCACAGAAATGTCTTCAGACAATGCTGGCTGCCTCTGCTAAGAAACCGAAATGAGCACTGTACGCTAAATTCTAACATGACTGGATGGGGGAAATCTTTACCTTTAGTTCAGAAGTATTTGAGAAGTTCTCACTCTTACGAGACTCTGCAATTCTAAACCATAATATGGTTCACTTCTTTGGGGCTATGTTTGAACCTACTAGTTACAGCTTGGGTGAAAACAGGCTGTTGTGGCTTAGTCAACAAGCTATGGTTTAAAAACTACTGCAACGCTCTCTACATGGGGCTCCCCCTGGGGTGCACCCGGAGGCTCCAGCTGGTCCAGAACGCGGCCGCGCGGGGGATTATGGGGCGACGAGGCGCTCCCATGTGACACCTCTCCTGCGCGAGCTGCACTGGCTCCCGGTGGTCTTCCGGGTGCGCTTCAAGGTGTTGGTGACCACCTTTAAAGCGCTCCATGGCTTAGGGCCGGGGTACTTACGAGACCGCCTTCTGCCACCAATAGCCTCCCACCGGCCAGTACGCTCGCACAGAGTGGGCCTCCTCAGGGTGCCGTCCGCCAGACAATGTCGGCTGGCGACTCCCAGGGGGGGACAGCCTTCTCTGTGGCAGCGCCCACCCTCTGGAACAACCTCCCCCCAGAGATACGTACAATAACAGACCTCCGGATTTTTCGTCGGGCCCTGAAAACCCATTTATTTCAACTAGCTGGGCTGGCTTGAGTTAAATTTTAAATTGATTTTAAATTGGGTTGTTTTAATTTATGGCCAAAATATTTAATTATTTTAAACTGTTTTTAAATTTTGATTGTTCTGTTTTTTACTTTGGCTGTTCACCGCCCTGAGTCCTATTTGGAGAAGGGCGGTATAGAAATAGGAACAAACAAACAAATAAATAAATAAAAAAAGACTTGGCTGAACATACTGTTCGTTCAGGCCAGATGGCTTTTGTTAATGTCAATAGATTATTATTTTTTTCCTTGCAGAAAGAAGCTTTGAGGTGACAAAAGTGCAGCAGCTGTTCTGGCTTCCCAAAAATTATTAAACCAGGACTTCAACCTTCATGGTTATACTACAGTACAGGTTTTAATGTTCTGTTACAGGGGAATTCCTCTCAGCAGTTTTTAATCCTGGATTGTGAAAGAGATCGGATGCCAAAGATGAACCTGCTTACCTCTGAATTCCAAGAATTTTGTAATAATTCCTCTTCTTGGACTGCTTCAGCAGTTTCTGCGCCTTCTCGAGCCCGTCTTTTAATTCCTCGTTTTCAGCATCAAATTCTTTCGCTTCTTGATAATCTTCAATGGCTGGAGATTATTTTAAAAAAAACAACGGCTAGTTTTAATTCTTTCAACATGGAAGCTTCCTCCCCCAGCAGCTTTGATTCTTTGGTCACAGACGTTTTATATTATCCAGTTAAATGGAAATATGCAGCTACATATTTCATCTACAAATAGCAGATACTCTGCAGGTTATTAGCTATTCTCCAAAAACAGGCAGGGGGAAGGACTCATATTTTCCGGAAGGCACTCAAGACCTGGTTCTGCCAGCAGGCCTGGGGAACCCAGAGTGGAATGGAGATCATGTGAAGTGTTAATACCGCTTTGTAATGCCTTGGTAAGGTCACACTTGGAATACTGCATTCAGTTTCGGTCGCCACGATGTAAAAAAGATGTGGAGACTCTAGAAAGAGTGCAGAGAAGAGCAACAAAGATGATTAGGGGACTGGAGGCTAAAACATATGAAGAACGGTTGCAGGAACTGGGTACGTCCAGTTGGAAGGGACCTTGGAGGTCCTCTAGTCCAACCCCCTGCTCAGGCTGGAAACCCTATACCGTTCCGGACAAATGGCCGTCCTATCTCTTCTTAAAAACTTCCAATGTTGGAGCACCCAGAACTTCTGAAGGCAAATTGTTCCACTGATTAATTGTTCTTACCGTGAGGTAATTTCTCCTTAGTTCTAGGTTGGTTCTCTCATTGATTAGTTATAAGCTTCTCTTTTCTATGCATGTTTCTTTTAAAATAAAACTGCTTTTGTATCTGTGTTTACTCCATTGGGAAGCTTTGATGTTGCTATTTATTTTGGTTGCTACATCACTTCAGTCAAATGGTTATCCTATTTCTTCTTAAAAACTTCCAGTGTTGGAGCATTCACAACTTCTGGAGGAAAGTTGTTCCACTGATCAATTTTTCTGTCAGGAAATTTTTCCTTCGTTCTAAGTTGCTTCTTGTCCTGCCTTCTGGTACTTTGGAGAATAGCTTGGCTCCCTCTTCTTTGTGGCCATCCCTGAGATATTGGAACACTGCTATCATGTCTCCCCTAGTCCTTCTTTTCATCAGACTAGACATATTCAGTTCCAGCAACCGTTTTTTATATGTTTTAGCCTTCAGTCCTCTAATCATCTTTGTTGCTCTTCTCTGCAATCTTTCTAGAATCTCAACATCTTTTTTTACATCGTGGCGACCAAAACTGGATGCAGTATTCCGAGTGTGGCTTTACCAAGGCCTTATAAAGTGGTATTACCCTCAAAACGACGCTATAAAGCACTGCACACCAGAACAACTAGACACAAGAACAGTTTTTTCCCGAACAGTTTTTTCCTGAATGCTAAACAAATAATTCCCTCAACATTGTCAAACTATTCACTGAGTCTGCATTACTATTAATCTTCTCATTGTTCCTATCACCCATCTCCTCCCACTTATGACTGTATGACTGTAACCTTGTTGCTGGTATCCTTAAGATTTATATTGACTGTTTCCCTATGACTATCATTAAGTGTTGTACCTTATGATTCTTGATGACTGTATCTTTTATGTACACTGAGAGCGTATGCACCAAGACAAATTCCTTGTGTGTCCAATCACACTTGGCCAATGAAGAATTGTATTGTATTGTATTGTATTGTATTGTATTGTATTGTATTGTATTGTATTGTATTGTATTGTATTGTATTCTATTCTATTCTATTCTATTCTATTCTATTCTATTCTAGTCACACTTCACATGATCTTGAGATTCCATTTAGGGAATTGTTCTTTGTTTGGTCCCATTTTCCTCCCTGCTGATAATGAAGTGTTGGGTTTTTTAAAAATACATTCCCAGGTTTGAGATATGAGATGTTTGGAATCGTGTTTTATTGCCTCTGGATAAGATTTTTAGTTGGGCTGGAAATGAACAATTGGGATCGCTTCGTGTGGCTTTTGTATTTTGCAATTAGAAAATAGTTTGACTGGGACGATAACGTTTGCCAAGAAATGTAAATGTAAATGTAAATGTAAATGTAAGCCAGAGAACCAGTTTGGTGTAGCGGTTAAGACAGCAGGCTAGGAACTGGGACTTCTAGTCCTGCTTTAGGCACAAAGCCAGTTGGGTGACCTTGGGCTAGTCGTACACTCGAAGGAAGGAGGAAGGAGATTGTAGGGCATCACTTTGGGAAAGCCTTGCCAAGAAAACGGCAGGGACTCGTCCAGGCAGTTCCTGAGAACTAAACACGACTGAATGGAAGAACAATAAATAAGCGAAATCGTTAACCCTGAGATGGAAGGAGGAGAAATGGATCCCCATGAAGTGGTGACAATGAGCTATCTCAGACGCTGACCTTTCTCAAATTCCTCATTAAGGATGAAGGCCTCTGCTCGGTCGCGCAGGATGAAGATATTTCTGGGATCCAGTTGATGGGCTTCGCTGCAGACATCTATCGCTTCGGCAGTCCGTTTGCTCTGCAACAGGAAGTAAAGTGTTTTTTTGTTTTTTTTAAATCAGGGCAACCTGGTCTACCCAAATATGGGGTGGAGCATACTACTTCTGCTTTCACCTTTCGGCTTCAATCCAGGAGCCTTTGCAGGCAGTCGCTTTCGTGACAAACTAATTTTTGTGTGTTGATTTTAGATTTTACCGACAAGGAAATAAAGGGAGAGTAGTACAGATCTATTTCAAGCTAGTATTTAGCCCGGTTTGAATCCCAGAAGGGTATGGCTAGCCGACAAGAGCTAAATAGCTTGAAATAGATCTATATTTTGTTGTTAGTTGCGAAGTCGTGTCCAACCCATCGCAACCACATGGACAACGTTCCTCCAGGCCTTTCTGTCCTCTACCATCCTCTGGAGTCAATTTAAGCTCACGCCAACTCTCTTCAGTGACTCCATCCAGCCATCTTGTTCTCTGTCGTCCCCTTCTTCTTTTGCCCCCAATCTTTCCCAGCATTAGGCTCTTCTCCAGTTGAGTCCTTCCTTCTCATTAGGTGGCCAAAATATTTTGAGTTTCATCTTCAGGATCTGGCCTTCTAAAGAGCAGTCAGGGTTGATCTCCTCTAGGACTGACCAGTTTGATCACCTTGCAGTCCAAGGGACTCACAGGAGTCTTCTCCAGCATCATAGTTCAAAGGTCTCAATTTCTTTAGCGCTCAGCCTTTCTTATGGTCCAGCTTTCTCAGCCAGACATTGCAACTGGGAAAACCATAGCCTTGACTATACGCACTTTTGTTGGCAGGGTGATGTCTCTGCTGTTGTAGATTTGCCATAGCTTTCCTCTATATTATATAATCTATAATCTATATTAGTCTCCTTTTACTTCTTTGTCGGTAAATATACATTTAACAGGAGGAAAAAGAGAACCGCGATGTGGGTGCTCTTATTGGCTAACACATTCGCACATCCTTTCCTGGGCCTGGCCATCTGTTCCAATCTACCCTATGATCCTGCAGTGGGCTTCTAATAACACACCCTCGACTTAATTTCATTTACTTGATCATTTTAAAGAAATGCAGAAGGCTTCCCGTATGGAATACTGTGATTCTGGACAACTTACAGATAGTCCTTTGAGTTATGACCAGAATGGAGTCTGCCCTTTACGGTGATTAACTTCTAATTTTACATTTTTGTGATGGTCATTGAGCCAACGGAGTGGTCCTAAACGCAAACACCCAGTTGGTAAGCAAACACGGCAGTTATAAGGGCGAACCCCAAGTTTTTTTTTTTAAACAAACACAGCGGTTGTAAGTGCAAATCCATTGTGGGTGTGGGTGTGTGCTGGAAATAAGTGCCAGTTTTTGGCAAAACTGCCGTAAAATGGGTGTGTGAGACTGCGGGACGCTGCAACTCCATCAGAATGTAGATCTGGGTCACAAGTCCCAGGTCATAACGTCCAACGGTCACTAAGCAACCTGTCATAAGTCGAGGACTATCTGTACAATGAACCCGCCCCCCCCAAATAAACAAAAACAACCAGTTCCATCAGAATATAAACAAATACTCCCTAAGTCACCAGGGATTTGGAATTGTTATCCTCCTCAAAATGAGGACTCCCATCATCCTGTCCCAAGAGCCCAACGGGTGAAAAAAATGGATTTTTAATGCCTTTGGAATGAGCCAGGAAGATTTGACAAATAAACCCATCCTGTGCCATTTCTTCCAGCAAGTTGGGAAAAGGTCAGGAGAATTCTTGGGCAAAATATCTAGAAAAACGTTTGTTAATGCATCTTTTTACAATTTCAGAGCCCTACAGAGGCCTTGGGTTATGATTTCTATTAGCTCCAAAACATCTGGAGAAGATCAGCTGGGCCAAGGCTGCAGATGAAGGACCACATCCCTGTGGTGCAGTGGTCAGAATGCAATACTGCTGTCAGGCCTGGAAGCCATCTTTGGTGTTAGGCCTTCAGGCCTGCAATGTTTACACTGTGGGAAACTGGAAGGGGGGAATTATATGGCGCGTGGGTAATATATAGTCATAATAACACTGCTTTCTTGAGGAGTCAAGGCCATTTTGCCCTGCACCTGGAAGGCTGGACCTGGGAGGCATCCCCAGTTGGGACGATGTTTGATTGGACCATGTGATGGACATGTGGATGCTGGGCAGGGACTTGAACTTTTCTTTGGGTGAGGAAAACCTGGGAACTTTCAGATTCGGGTTTTCCCAGATGTGCCAATATGACGTCTCTAATAAAACGTAGCTTTGAGGAATTTCAAGCCTCGGAGTTTTCTTCCGTTGGGTGTGTTACTTGGAACCCTGACAACTGCAGGTTGACTCTGCCCACTGCCAAGAGTTCGATCTTGACTGGTTCAAGGTTACCTCAGCCTTTCATCCTTCCGAGGTCGGTAAAATGATGACCCAGATTGTTGGGGAAAATATGCTGACACTGTAAACTGCTTAGAAAGGGCTGTAAAAGCACTGTGAAGCAGTATATAAGCGCTATTGTTATTGCTATACAGGAAGGAAGCAAAATCTCAGATAGGTGGAGCAACAGAACCAGACAGACAGACAGACAGACAGACAGGCCTGATAGTAGATCCAGGAAGCAAGGACAGATCCCCATTTCAACTTCATGAGATTAAGCAAAGCATTCACGCTTCTTTCAGCCTCTGGTCACGTTATACCAGGGGTCGGCAACCTTAAACACTCAAAGAGCCACAATTGTGGAGCCGACCAGTGAGAGGGAGCCGCAGTAGAGGGATGAAAGAGCCACATGCGGCTCCAGAGCTGCAGGTTGCTGACCCCTGGGTTATACCAAGACTGGCAGCTTTCCAAAGAGGGTGCTTAATCGCTAGGGACCCAAACCCAGATTCATTTCGAAGGAGTTCCCGAGTTCGAGTTCAGCCTCTACCTTGGATAAACAGTGGCAGATCCATCCTTTCGCTTTTATGGTGTAGATCTCTACGTTGGGTTCCGTTTTCATGGTGGCTTTGTACTTCTCGATGGCATCTGCATATCTGTTGTTGGAGAACAGCAAAGAAGAAACAAGATTGGACAAGGGACACAGATAGCGAACGTTGATATAGCAAGAGCATTTAGACTTATATACCGCCCCATTGCACTTTAGAGCAGGGTTGTCAAACTCAAGGCTCACAGGCCGCATCTGGCCTGTGAGATGCTTAGAACTGGCTCGCAGGGCCTCCATGGAAACCGCGAAGGACCGGCCTATGGTGCCTCTGCCAGTAAAAATGGCCCTCGGGGGCGCTGCATGCACGATTTGGGAATTAAGTATAATCAAAAGCAGACCTCCATATTCCTTGATCCTATGTCTGGGATTCAACCAGAAAGGATCGCTTCATATCCTTCTTAACCTCATGCCCGGTGCATGCGCCGTGCAACCTCCGTGGGTTGGTAAAGGTTAGGTTAGGCGGTGCACTAAGGTGGCTGTTGAAATCTCAATAATGGTTAAGGCCCAAGTCAGCTTAGATATAGGCAGGGGTGGGCTGCTGGGGGTTTCAGGAGAACCTCCAGCTAAGATTCTGTCCAGTTCGGAGAACCCCCAAATCCCACTCCTGGCTGGCCCCGCCTACCCCTCCCCTCCCAGGAGTCCCCACGCGGCCCCTTTAGAATGCAGGTAAGTGCAAGGTGTGCGGGGAGGGTGAAAAACGGGCCTACCGGAAATTCGAGAAGACCGGAAACGGGCCCGTGAAGGGCCTCTGGAGCCTGGGGAGGCCGTTTTTGCCCTCCCGGAAGCTCAAAGAAAGCCTCCGGAACCCGGGGAGTGCAAAAACGCCCCCCCCCAACCGTGGTGCAGGAGACCGACTAGGCCACCTAGCATCCGGGCAGAGAACCCCTTGCTAAAATTTTTGAAGCCCACCCCTGGATACGGGCACCCATGCAAACCAAAAATCCAGGATGGGATGATCACCTCTGAGCTTTGATGTGCTCCTCAGCAGATTCCAGCTGCTTGGTGAGCTTCTTCACTTGCTTGTAGTGGGAAAAACAGTCCTTGTCGTCTTGATCCAGCTTCAAGCACTCCCGCACTTGGCTGTGTGTGTGGAAAAAAGTGGAGAGCGAGAATTGAAAAGAGGGAGATGTTTGAAGCCTTTCAGGCAGAGAAACTGAGGCAGAGTGAAGCCCGAGAAGGGATAGCAGTATTCCAGTATTTGAGGGGCTGCCATGAAGAAGAGAGGGGGTCAACTTATTTTCCAAAGCATCACAGGGCAGGATAAGAAACAATACACAGAAAGAAATCATAACCACCCGGCCACGCGGGTAGTTATGGGAGCGACGTGGCGTTCCCATGTAACACCTCTCCTGCGCGAGCTGCACTGGCTCCCGGTGGTCTTCCAGGTGCGCTTCAAGGTTTTGGTTATCACCTTTAGAGTGCTCCATGGCTTAGGACCTGGTTATTTACGGGACTGCCTGCTACCACGAATAGCCTCCCACCGGCCGGTACGCCTCACATAGAGAGGGGCTCCTCCGGGTGCCGTCAGCCAAACAATGTCGACTGGCGGCACCAAGGGGGAGAGCCTTCTCTGTGGGGGCACCTACTATCTGGAATGAGCTCCCCCCGGAGATACGGAGGATCCTGGATCTGCGCACCTTCCGTCGCGCTCTCAAGACTTTTTTATTCCATCAAGCTGGCCTGGCCTAAATCTTTCCCCTTTAAAATGTAAATTTTAATTTGTTTTTAAAAGTGTTTTAAATTTGTCTCGGTCAAATTGTTTAATTCGGTTTTATTCTGTTTTTAAATTTTGTATTTATGTGTTTATTTATTTAGGTGTTTTATTCTGTGGCCGTTCACCGCCCTGAGTCCTTCGGGAGTAGGGCGGTATATAAATCCAACAAATGAAATGAAAATGAAATGAAGGAGAAAACAACCTGGAATTAAGGAGAAACTTCCTAATAGTGAGGACAATTAACCGGCGGAACAGCTTGCCTCCAGAAGTTCTGGGTGCTTCATCACTGGAGGCTTTTAAGAGACTGGCCAGCCACTCCACGCTCTATTCTGAATTAAAGCTCCAGAAGAAGGAAGATAAGCAGACAATTCAAAGAAATTGAAGCCATAACAGAATAACCGAGTTGGAAGAGACCTTGGAGGTGTTCTATAGTCCAACCTCCTGCTCAGGCCGGAAACCCTATACCCGTGATGGCAAACCAATGGCACGTGTGGCACACGGAGCCATCTCTGCGGGCATGTGAACCGTTGCCCTAGGTCAGTTCCACTGCGCATGTGTGCGCGCCTCTCGACGGCCAGCTAATTTTGGGGTCTCTGTCACAGGGGGCGTGAGTCATGGACGCATGTGTGGAGGGGGTGTGCAGCCCCCCCCCGCGGCTTGTTTTTGGTCCCAGGAGGCTTCAGGGAGACCTGCTAGGCCCAAAATGGAGTGCGGGAGGGGGGAGGGTCACGTGTGCATGCTTGGGGAGACGGGGGGTTGTGCATGCATGTGCAGGGGAGGAGCGGGGGGGTGTCACGTATGCATGCATAGGGGTGTGGGGGTGCGCGGGGGGCATTGCATTATGGGTGTGCATTATTTTGGTACCCAAAGAAAAAAAGCTTAGCCATCACTGCTCTATACCATTCCGGACAAATGGCCGTCCAATCACTTCTTAAAAATTTCCAGTGTTGGAGCACCTAGAACTTCTGAAGGCAAATTGTTCCAGTGATTAATTGTTTTCACTGTGAGGTAATTTCTCCTTAGTTCTAGGTTGGGTCTCACATTGATTAGTTATGAGCTTCTCTTTTCTATGCATGCTTTTTAAAAAATAAAACTGCTTTTGTATCTGAGTTTACACCATTGGGAAGCTTTGATGTTGCATTTTATTTTATTTTATTTTATTTATTTTATTTTATTTTATTTTATTATTTTATTTTAATTATTTTATTTTATTTTATTTTTTATTTTATTATTTTATTTTATTTTGTCCCGGGGTCATGTGATCACCTATTTGTAACCTTCCCAGCTAGTTTCCAAGAAGCAAAGTCAATGGGGAGGGAAGCTCAATTCGCTTAACCACCGCACAATTCACTCAACAACTGCAGTGATTCGCTTAACAACTGTGGCCAAAATAGGGCGTAAAAATGAGGCACAACTCACTTCTTGCCTAGGAAAGGAAGTTTGGGGCTCAATTATGGTCGTTAAGTCAAGGATTAACTGTATATATTTCAAGGTCGGGGAAAGAAACTACAGTTTCCCCGAAAATAAGACCCTGTCTTATATTTTTTTGAACCCCGAAATAAGCACTTGGCCTTATTTTGGGGGAGGTCTTATTATTTTGGGGTGCATGGAGCAAGATGGGGCTCTTCTTGCCGTCTTACTTTATTTCCAGCTCTGCGTTTAAATATTTTCGGGGAGGGCTTATTTTCGGGGGGGGGGTATTTTAGCGCATGCGCTCAAAAGCCTGATTGGCTTATTATCAGGGGATGTCTTATTTTCAGGGAAACAGAGTACATCTGATCTGTTAATTTGCCAGTAGTTTGTATACAGGCAATCCTCGACCTACGACCACAATTGAGTCCAAAATTTATGTTATTAAGGGAGACATTTGTTAAGCGAGTTTTGCTCCGTTCTACGACCTTTCTTGCTTCAGTTGTTAAGTGAATAACCCAGTTGTTAAGTGAATCTGGCTTTCCCCTTTGACTTTGCTCGTCAGAAGGTTGTGAAAGGGGATCGCGTGATCTTGGGACACAGCGACGGTCAGAAATATGAACCGGTTGCCCATTGTCTGAATTTTGATCACATGTGGGGTTGCTGGAATGGTTGTTAACTCTGAGAAACGGTCATAAGTCACTTTTTTCAGTGCCGTTCAGTGGTGGGATTCAGCCAGTTTGGGCGAACTGGTAGTTAAATTGCTGGCTGGCCCCTCCCCTTCCCTTCCAGGAGTCCCCACGTGCCCCATTTTGGCTCACAGGTAAGTGCAAGGAGGCCTCCTAGACCCAAAACAGGGTGTGAGGGGGTGTGTGCAGTGCCCCCCCCGCAGCCCGTTTTCGCTCCCAGGAGGCTTCAGAGAGGCCTACTAGGCCCAAAATGGGACGTGGGGGTGTGTGTGTGTCCTTTCCTGATGGCCCGGGGGGCAAAAGGCTGAGTGCTGCCTGTCACACACCCCTGGCCACGCCCACCCAGCCGGTCATTAGGGCAGAGAACCAGTTGTTAAATTATTTGAATCCCACCACTGGTGCTGTTGTAAATTTGAACGGTCACTAAACGAATTGTTGTAAGTTGAGGAATATCTGTACTGTGAGGTGTCATAAGCTCAACCCCATCTTTCCTTATCCCTGGGATGGTATGTCAATGACAAGACATACCATACCCAAGGTAACAAAAAGGAAAGCCAGCTCGTTCATGGTACACTGACCTGGCCTCCCAAATTCTGAAATATAATATAAAATAATGAAAGGATTATGGATGGGTATTCAAATGAGTCAGCAGCAGGAGATAAGGGGTGAGGTAGAGGAAACATTCAGTTTGAACAAAACTGCTATGAAGTGATATAAGATCCCAAGGGAGAAATATGAAAGTGTTACCAAAAAGTCAATAAATGATGAAATTTTAAAAAGAGCAAGAGATGATGGATAGAGACAAAATATCTTTTAATACAGTGACCGTATTAAAAATTAAGAAAAAAAAAGTAAGGTAAAAGTTCCCCTCGCACATATGTGCTAGTTGTTCCCGACTCTAGGAGGCGGTGCTCATCTCCGTTTCGAAGCCGAAGAGCCAGCGCTGTCCGAAGACGTCTCTGTGGTCATGTGGCCGGCATGACTAAACGCCAAAGGCTCACGGAATGCTGTTATCTTCCCACCAAAGGTGGTCCCTATTTTTCTACTTGCATTTTTTACGTGCTTTTGAACTGCTAGGTTGGCAGAAGCTGGGATGAGTCACAGGAGCTCACCCCGTTACGCGGCACTAGGGATTCGAACCGCTGAACTGCCAACTTTTTGATCGACAAGCTTAGCATCTTAGCCACTGAGTCACCACATCCCCAAAAAAGTAGAAAGTCCACATTGGGAAAATAATATTATGCACACTGATATATAACAGAATTTATTATAATTACAATGTGCATATTAAGGTTAGAAGTTGGAAGACTACGATTATGTATATTTCATGTATTTTCCGGCGTATAAGATGACTTTTTAACACATGAAAATCTTCTCAAAAGTCGGAGGTCATTTTATACTTTACTTACTTTATTCAAATTTCTATACCGCCCTTCTCCTTTCGGACTCAGGGCGGTGAACAGCCAAGATAAAAACATCTATACAAAACATCACAGTTAAAAAATAAAGTTAAAATAATTTATAAATTTGGCCCATATACGCCGGGTGTCGTTCTCCTGTAACCAGGCAGACCAGCCCGAAAGGCTCTGATGAGCCTTAAATGGCTCTGACGAGCCAAGCTCTGACCATCCCAGCTGAGTCGCCTGCTAATCAGGCAACTCAGCTTGGATCGCCAGAGCCATGTAAAAGGAAAAAAGTTTTCCCTCTCCAGCTTGCTTACCTTAGCTGCTAGTCGCAACGCTCGCCTTGCTTCGCTTGCCTGCAATCCATTCCATCAGCAAGCAACTCTCTGCCTGCAATCAAGCAGGCAGGGAGTTGTGGACTTCAACTCCCAGAATTCCTCAGCCAGCAAAGCAAAGCTGGCTGAGGAATTCTGGGAGTTGAAGTCTACAAGTCTTAAAGTTGACAAGGTTGGAGACCCCTGTTCTATTGGTCTAAGTTTTTTCCCCTTTGGGAGCTTTAAAAAAATAGTTATTATGTTTTTTTTTTAGTTGTTCTATTTTAGACCTAGCCATTGAAAGTTTAGGAAGTTTTAAATTTAGCTTTCATATAAAAATAAAAATAAAATAAAATTATATTTGTGCAGCTTTCTGAGATTTAGTGTTTCTGTAGTGTTTCACTCTAACTACACAAACACACAAAATCTCACAAAGCTGTATGTGGAATTTTGTGTGTGTAAAGTGTGAAAGTTGTTTTTTTGGGCTTTTTGTGGCTGTGTGAGGTTCCTGCTTGTTGCAGGGGCCATTTTGGGTCTAGCACAGCTGCTTTTACATTGTGGGTGAGCCAGTTGATGTTTTTTAATTTTTATTTGGTGTGCGTTGGAAGAGGGGTAGTCTTATACGGCGAGTATAGCCCAAACCCTATATTTTAACAGGAAAAGTCGGGGGTTGTCTTATACGCCCAGTCGTCTTATACGCTGGAAAATACAGTAATTGTATTGTTATTATTAGCATTAGCATTGTGCAAAAGGTACATTGATCCAGACAATACACTGTCCACAAAATATGTAGGGCTGTTACAGGAAAAATTACAAATAAAATGTATTAAAAAAAGAAAAAGAGGAGGGGTATGTCTGGGAAGGAAAGCCAGCTCATTCATGGTACACTGATTTGGGTTCCCAAATTCTGCTAAGCCACCATGTGACTTCCCTAATTTGGGTTTGGCATAGGTGAAGGAATGCAGACTTGGCCTTGAGAACCGGGAAGAAATAACCCCGCCATCAAAGGGGAAGTTTCGGAAAGGATGAGTCAGTCTGAGTGTGAGGAGAAGAAGAAACTCAAGATGACCCCGCCTTGAGTTGATTTGGCATACAAGCGGAGCGGAGGGGGAAAAAAAAACAAAAAAACTCTCGACAGGCTTTGAAGAGGCTGTTTTTTTGACCCTGCTACATCAACCAAAAAGCATTCTGGGAATTTCGGCTTCATACCTTGAAAGGCTAATAGAAAGCTATGGCAGCTTGCAAACCACGTTGTAGAGCGTTGCATCCTGAGCAAACTCAATCAACTTTTTCTCGCCATGTACATTTATACATCCGAACTACACTGTGTTGTTTCTCTGTGTCATATAACATATGTGGGTACATGCATAATTTCTGTATTTTCTGGATTATAAGGTCCGGACTATAAGAAGCACCTACCATTTTGGAGGAGGAAAACAAGAAAAAAAAAATCTGCCTTTGCCTCCCAGCATCCATCCAGTATTCATCTAGTCTGTTCGTCGCAGCCCATTTAGCGCTGCCGCAGCCCATTCACCACCGCCACCTATTCTCCGTGGCCCATTCACCACCACCCATTCGCCGCGGCCCATTTGCCGCCACCAGGGCCCGTTTGCCACAGCCTGTTCGCCACCACCGCAAGCCCGTTCGACGCAGCCCATTTGCTGGGGCCTGTTTGCCACGGCCCGTTTGGCACAGTCCATTTGCCACCATCCATTTGCCACGGCCTGTTCGCCACCGTCATGGCCCGTTCGCCGTGGCCCATTTGCCGCCACCGATCCCTGCTGCCTAGAACCGGCCAAAAATGTGACACATGGAGGCCGAAAACGGAACGCACGGAGGCCGAAAACGGCTGAAGGGTGGGGTGGACGGGGCTACATTTGGTGTATAAGATGCACCCAAATTTTCACTCTCTTTTAAGGGGGGAAAGTGTGTCTTATACTCCAAAAAGTATGGTAATTTTTATCTATCTATCTATCTATCTATCTATCTATCTATCTATCTATCTATCTCCCCAAAATACGACTTACTCAGAAAGTAAGTCCTAGCTTGATTTTTTACATGTGTGCCCGTTATAAGCCCTACCCCACAAAATAAGCCCTAATTAAGACCCAACTCACTCCAGGGTACACGGGTAAAAATTAAGCTAGGGTGGGGATTGGGTGGTGGTGGAGCTGCCCTACTACTTACCTTTGGATAGTTGCAGCCAGGCCTCACACACCTCAGCCCATTTCTTCTGCAGCCAGCAGGGCTTTCCTGATTGAGATCGATCCGGAGCTTTGTTATTGGGTACAGAGGCCTTCAGGAAAGCCTTGCTGGCTATAGAAGAAATGGGCAGAGGTGTGTGAGGCCTAGTTGCAACAATCCGAAATCGAAGTTCCTGAAGGCCTCTGACAGCGAAAAGGAGGCTGGGGGTGACAAGCACAAGTGAGGTGAGTCAATGGATGATATCACCCCGAAAATAAGACCTGGTGCCTTTTTTTGGTGGAAAAAAATAATAAGACAGGGTCTTATTTTTGGGAAACATAGTATCTATCTATCTATCTATCTATCTATCTATCTATCTATCTATCTATCCAGGGGGAACATGTTGGCTCAGTGGCTAAGATGCTGAGCTTGTCGATCGAAAGGTCAGAAGTTCAGCAGTTCGAATCCCTAGTGTCGCGTAACAAGGTGAGCTCCCGTTACTTATCCCACCTTCTGCCAACCTAGCAGTTTGAAAGCACATAAAAAATGCAAGTAGAAAAATACGGACCACTTTTGGTGGGAAAGTAATAGCGTTCTGTGGACCTCTGCCGGCCACATGGCCACGGAGACGATTTTGGACAGCGTTGGCTCTTCGGCTTTGAAACAGGGTTGAGCACCGTCCCCTAGAGTCAGGAACGACTCTGACGATCAGGCAACTCAGCTGGGATCGCCAGAGGCTTTTAAAGGGATTTCTTTTCCTACAACCTCTTTGGCCGAAGAGGTTGCAGAAAAAAAGGCTTTTAAAAGTAAAAAAAAAAGCCTCTGATGAGGTGGGCGGGGTAAGCGAGCGGCGACCGGGCTGGGGACCAGTTCAGGGTGTGGCCAGCCAATGTTATTACCAGTTCTCTGAACTACTACAAATTTTTACTACTGGTTCTTGTGAACCGGTGCGAACTGGGAGCAACCCACCACTGCTACGTACCTATACTTTTGTCATGTTTATGTAGTGTATAGTGAAGTGGTGGCCCTTTGAGAGCTGTATGCAATGAAATTTCATTTTAATGTACGCCGGTTAGTGTACATTTAAAGTGAGAATAAAGTTATTCTAAGTCTAAGTCTAACTGTGATTTATGCTATTTTTTTTTTTGCTTAAATTATTAAAGATTTAAAGCAGTGGTTTTCCAGGGTGGCCTGAGACCCTTTCAGGGGGGGGTCCGCGGAAGTCTCTTGAGTAAATATTTTACATTTTCTTAATTTTATTTTCCAATGCTGTAAACGTCAACGAATATAAACCACATAAAAGCAAAGTGTTTTGAGGATCCTCTTATCGTTTTAGACAAGGATCCTAACCAGGGGTGAAATCCAGCAGGTTCTGGAGAATCGGTAGCGGAAATTTTGAGTAGTTTGGAGAACCGGCAAATACCAACCTCTGGCTGGCCCTAGAGTGGGGTGGGAATGGAGATTTTGCAATATCCTTCCCTCAGGAGTGGGGAGGGGATGGGGATTTTGCAGTATCCTTCCCCTGCAACGTCCACCAAGCCATGCCTACCAAGCCACGCCCACAGAACCGGTGGTAAAAAAATTTGAATTTCACCACTGGTCCTAACGTTAAAAAGTTTGAGAATGGCTGGCTTCAAGCAGTGGGAAATTTGGGCACAATCTTTCCTCATGGTCTTCTGACAGGCCATGGAGCGACATCCACACTTCATTTACAGACGGTCTTCATTTAACAAACACCATTGGGACCAGCAACTCGGTCGTTAAGCGAAGTGGTCACTAAGTGAAACCACAAACGTGCTTATGATCTTATCTCAACTTCTCTCTCTTTTTTTTTTAACGGACCTCACAGGTTGTTAAATGCGAGGATTGGTTGTCACCACTGTAAATGTGAATGGTCACTAAACGAGATGGCCGATAAACAAGGACTACTTGTACTAGCTTTAGAGGACTAAATTCACCCTCCTTCTGCCAGATTTGTATCGCTGTTCTCATTGACATCGTATAGGACTGTGATGGCGAACCTGTGGCACCCGTAATCATATCGCTGGGCACGTGAGCTCAGCTCGGGCCTTCTGGGCCCACCAGAAGTAGGGAAACAGGCTGTTTCCTGCCTCTGCGGGGTGGGGGTGGGGAAGGCCCATTTTTTGCTGTCCCCAGGATCCAGAGCCTTTCTAGGAGTCTGGGGAGGGCGAAAACAGCTCCCCCCCGAAGGCCGAAAACGGCCCGTTTGCCAACTTCTGGTGGGACCGGAAGGCCTGTTTTTTGCTGTCCCCAGCCTCCAGAGCCTTTCTAGGAGTCTGGGGAGGGCAGAAATAGCCTTCCCCATCCCCCAGAGGCCGGAAATGGCCCGTTTGCCAACTTCCAGTGGGAAGTTGGTGGGAAGCTGGGGGGGGGGAGGCATGCACGCATGTGCGGGGATACAGCGCATAGAATTACAGGTGTGGGAACGCACGCGCACAACAACAAACCCCACCCCCAGCTCCTGGCACGTGATGGCAAAAAGGTTAGCCATCACTGCTATAGGACATCACAGGAAGCGCTGTGGCCAATTTCATCCAGATGGTCCTTCCTTGACTTGCATCTATTCATTTAGTGACCACTGGAAGTGACAACGGCGCTGAAAAATGTGATTTAGGGCTGGCTTTCGTACTTATGACCATTGCAGCATCCCCAGGGTCCCCTGATCAAAATTTGGCAACCGGCATATACTTAGGACGGTTGCATTGTCCTGGGGGGGGGGAATGGGGGAAGCCAGATTCGCTTAATAATCACACGATTCGTTTTAACAACTCGGGGGGGGGGGAAGTTGTAAAACCGGGGCAAAACTCACTTAACAACTGCCTCGCTTAGTCGTAAGTCAAGGACTACCCTGTCACTCATTTGAAAAATGGAAATCGGAGGCAGAACTGCGACCATTTGCACGTCGCAACTTTTTTTTCCTGAATCCCAGCATTCCAACTTTGGGGTGCCGGGGCGGGGGGGGTGTCTCTGGAAGAGTGTTGTTGGGGTTGTCGATAGACTGTGTGTTGTCCACCTGATACGCATGTATACTAGAAGCACGCGCGGGCGCACGCACACACACACACAAACCACACCAGTGGTGGAATTCAGCCGATTCTATCCGGTTCGGGCGAACTGGTAGCGGCGGCTGTGGAAGGCTCTGTTTACTCGCCCGGACGTCATCACTTCCTGTTTTTTTAATCTTTGTGCATGTGCGGAGATGGTGCGAGCGAGCGAAGCAAGCATGCACGCTCACATTTGCGAACCGGTAGCGAAGGTAAGTGAATACCAACCCCCCCCCCCCCACACACAAATGACCTTGCATTTACATGGCTCACTCACGTTAAGGACTCTTCGTGTTCTCCCAAGTTGTAATAGAGTTTGCTGAGCTTAAGGAAGGCGGCCCTGTTGTCATTCCGCAGCTTAGTGGTGGGCTTTAAGTCCAGGATGGCCTTGTTGTAGTCCCCAAGATGGAGGTAGCACTCGGAGCGCAGCTCTTTGGGTTCTGGATCCCAAGGGGAGATCTGAAAGAAAGCCGGGGGTGGGGGGGTGGGGCATGACAATGGTTTTGCTCAGCCTCATTGTGGTCATGTCAACATCATCGCTGGAAAGGACCTTGAAGATCTTCTAGTCCAGGGGTGTCAAACTTGATTTCGCTGAGGGCCGCATCAGGGTTGTGTTTGACCACGGAGGGCTGGGGAGGGGAGGGGCGTGGTCATGGTAGGCATGACACGGGACTTGTGTTCGGGAGGGGCACCTGTGGTGGCCAAGTGGTGAGGCAGGACTTCCCTCAGTCATTATAATCTTCCTTCCTTCCTTCCTTTTTTTTTCTTTCCCTCTTTATTCTAATTTCTTCTTCCTTCCCCTCTTTCCTTCTTTTTCCTTCCTTGCTCTCTTCCCATCTTTTCTTCTTTGTCTTTCCTCTTTCCCTTTCTCCTTTCCTGTCCCTTTTTTTTTTTTTTTAAATTTGATTTATATGCCGCCCTTCTCCGGAGACTCAGGGCGGCTTACAACGTGCTAAGCAATAGCCTTCATCCTGTTGTATGTTTATACAAAGTCAGCTTATTGCCCCCACACAACTGGGTCCTCAATTTACCTACCTTAGAAAGGATGGAAGGCTGAGTCAACCTTGAGCCTGGTGAGATTCGAACCTGCAGTAATTGCAGGCAGCTGGTCTTAATAACAGGGTGCTTTAGACCACTGTACTACCAGGCCCTTCTTGCATGCTCAAAGGCAAAAGGGGAAATATTTCTCCTTTTGTTTTGTTTTGAGTTTGTTTTGATAGCCCCTCTGCCAGCCGAAACGGGGCGCGGAAGGGGGAGGGGCATGTGTACCCTCCCACCCCGTTTTGGCCAGCAGAGGCACCGTGAGCTGGTCCTTTGCTATTTCCAGGCCAGCCCCCGCGAGCCAGACCTAAGCACCAGTGGTGGATTTCTACCGGTTCGGGTGAATGGTAGCGGTGGGGGAGGGAAGCTCCGCCCACCCGCCCGGACATCATCATGGATGCTCTGTGCATGCGCAGAAGTGCCGCGCGCAAGCCAAGCAAGCGCACGCAAGCGCACTCTCACAGTTCTGAAACGGTAGTGAAGGTAAGTGAAACCCACTACTGCTAAGCACCCCTTGAGTTTGACATCCCTGTTCCAGTCCAATCGCTTGCTCAAGCTAGAGACCCTGTACCATTCCAGACAAAATGGCTGTCCAGTCTCTTCTTAGAAGCCTCCAGGGATGCAGCCGCCACAACTTCTGAAGGAAAGCCGTTCCACTATTTACTGTATTTTTCGGAGTATAAGACGCACCTTTTTCCCCCCTAAAAGGGGCCTAATTTTTTAAGTGTTTTTAAGTGTTTTGTTTATTGTTTTTAATTAATGGGGCCAAATTTATATATATATATTTTAACTGTATTTTAATATTTGTACTTGATGTTTTTACTTGGCTGTTACCGCCCTGAGTCCTCAGGGAGAAGGGCGGTATACAAATTCAAAATAATAATAATAATAATAATAATAATAATAATAATAATAATGATGATGATGTAGCCCCGCCTACCCACTGGCCCCCACCCTTTGGCCTCTGCTTCCCAGCAGTTACCTCCTTGCAGCAAACAGGAAGAAACAGCTCCTTTCAGCTTCAGCACAGCCTAATTACCACAAGTTGATATGTGCTATGTATATATGTGCTAGTCATTGCTAACTCTAGGGGTGGTGCTCATCTCCGTTTCAAAGCCGAAGAGCTAGCACTGTCCAAAAACGTCTCCGTGGTCATGTGGCCAGCATGACTAAATGCCAAAGGCGCATGGAACGCTGTTACCTTCCCACCAAAGGTAGTCCCTATTTTTCTACATGCATAGTTTACGTGCTTTCGAACTGCTAGGTTGGCAGAAGCTGGGAGAAGTAACGGGAGCTCACCCCGTTACGAGGCACTAGGGATTCGAACCGCTGAACGTTCAATTCAATTGTATAGAATGTGAAGGATGCGTGCTTGTGTTTTATTTTTTTTATGTATAATGTACACTGAAGGTCGTCTTTAATTTCGCTGTATGAGGTGCAAGGATAATAAAGTAAACTAAACTAAACTAGACAACTTTAGCTTAGAGAAGATGAATTAAGAAGGTACCTCAATGACTTGATCCAGAAAACCGACTGCTTCCCGATAGTTTTTTTTCTGAAAGGCAGTCTGAGCTTCTTGCATGGAAAATTCTTGCTCGGTGACTCTGGATAGCTGGTTCCGGGCCTCTGCATCATCCGGATTGCTCTTGAGCTGGGGAAAGTAGGTTTTTTTTTAAAAAAATAAAATAAAAAACGTTACATGATACACACTGCATATGAAAGGACGCACATTGTTTGCATTCCTTTGTGGCATATGTTAAAAGAAAAATGCTCAGTTCCAACAGATCTGGACAGGGGTTTGTTTATTTAGCAGTGTTTCTATTCCACCGGCTCCAGAGACTCTGGGTAGCCAGCGAAATAGTCAAATAGAAACTCGTAAAACAACAACGATAATCGTGGCACAACGTGGACGACGGGATCAAAGAAGAAATGTCTGAAATGCGTAGGGTAGAAAAAACAATCGTCACCCTAGCTAGTGCTCTTAATCTGCAATTTTTTTTCCCCGTTAAAAACCAGGGTTTTCTTGCTACAGGAAAACATTGGGGTTTGGGCGCTGTACGGATTTCAGGCTGCTGAATGGGATGGGTAGATTCCAACACACGGTCCACTTGTGGCTGGCGATTTAGTAGGGCGATAAATCTTGGTCACCCCTCCTTCCCTGTGTTGAAAAGGTATTTTCTGTAACACCCTGGTTTTAATCCAGAAAGCCAGACTGTCAGCTAACCATGTTGCTCACTAACTGAATTTGTTGCTACCAAGAAACAGTGGTTCTGATGCACAAGTCAAAAGAATGACACTCAGATATCTTTACACCCTACTCAGCCAGTTTCTTGAAATTAGTATATTTTCCTTACCACGGCTTCAAAGTCTTGTTTTGCTTCCTGGGTGTATCCTTGTTTCAGAAGGATGTTGCCTCGCTGAAGCCGGGCCTATGGAAGCGGAGAAGTTTAGATCAGTGGTGAAATCTAAAATTTGTTACTACCGGTTCTGTGGGCGTGGCTTGGTGGTGGTGGGGGTAATGTGACTGGGTGGGCGTGGCCAATTTTTTTTTTTTTACTTGTAAAACCATTTTTCTACAACCCTTTTTTTCTTTTAAATGCCTCTGACGATCCAAGCTGAGTTTTTTAAAAAGCCTCTGCTGATCAGGCAACTCACCTTGGATCGTCAGAGGCATTTAAAAGAAAAAAACCCTTTTTTTCTTTTAAATGCCTCTGACGATCCAAGCTGAGTTTTTTTAAAAAGCCTCTGCCGATCAGGCAACTCACCTTGGATCGTCAGAGGCATTTAAAAGAAAAAAAGGTTTTTTTTCTTTTAAATGCCTCTAATGATCCAAGCTGAGTTTTTTTTTAAAAGCCTCTGCTGATCAGGCAACTCACCTTGGATCGTCAGAGGCATTTAAAAGAAAAAAAGGGTTTTTTTCTTTTAAATGCCTCTGATGATCCAAGCTGAGTTTTTTTTAAAAAGCCTCTGCCGATCAGGCAACTCACCTTGGATCGTCAGAGGCATTTAAAGAAAAAAAAAGGTTTTTTTTCTTTTAAATGCCTCTAATGATCCAAGCTGAGTTTTTTTTTAAAAGCCTCTGCTGATCAGGCAACTCACCTTGGATCGTCAGAGGCATTTAAAAGAAAAAAACGGTTTTTTTCTTTTAAATGCCTCTGACGATCCAAGCTGAGTTTTTTTTAAAAAGCCTCTGACGATCAGGCAACTCACCTTGGATCGTCAGAGGCATTTAAAAGAAAAAAAGGGTTTTTTTCTTTTAAATGCCTCTGACGATCCAAGCTGAGTTTTTTTTAAAAGCCTCTGCCGATCAGGCAACTCACCTTGGATCGTCAGAGGCATTTAAAAGAAAAAAAGGGTTTTTTTCTTTTAAATGCCTCTGATGATCCAAGCTGAGTTTTTTTAAAAGCCTCTGCCGATCAGGCAACTCACCTTGGATCGTCAGAGCCATTTTAAACAAAAAAGGGTGTTTTTTTTAAAAATGCCTTTGACGATCCAAGCTGAGTTTTTTTAAAAAGCCTCTTTCGATCAGGCAACTCACCTTGGATCGTCAGAGCCATTTAAAACAAAAAAGGGTGTTTTTTTTTTAAAATGCCTTTGACGATCCAAGCTGAGTTTTTTTAAAAGCCTCTTCCGATCAGGCAACTCACCTTGGATTGTCAGAGCCATTTAAAAGAAAAAAAGGGTTTTTTTTCTTTTAAAAGCCTTTGACGATCCCAGCTGAGCCACGCGATCATCAGAGGCTTTTTTTTTTACTTTTAAAAGCATTTTTTCGGCTGAAGAGGTCTGAAAAAGCCTCTGATGACTGTGCAGCTCACCTGGGCATGGGGGGGGGGGCGCAGGGATTTTTACTACCGGTTCTCCGAACCACCCGCCTCCATCGCTACTGGATCAGTCGATCCGGTCCAAACTGGGAGCATTTCACCCCTGGTTTAGATCCTTCAGAGTCAACTAACTTCTCCAAATTAGAACACGACCCGTTGTTGTTTTTTTTAAAGACCAGCACCTTGGGACCAGAATAATCCCATTTTTTCTTAAGAATCCCTTTCTGCTTAATGTCACCTTGGAGAGGAGGACGGGAGGTGAAAGTAAGAAGAACTTACCGCAAGGAAGTCTGGCTTGAGTTCAATAGCTTTGGAGAGATCCGGCAACGCTGATTTAAACTTGCCCATAGCCAGGTAAATGGTGGCCCGTTTGTAATAGGTAAGGTAATTTTTCGGATCGATTTCTTGAAGGGAGAAAAAGAAATCAGCCACAGTGTCAGTGTGTCCATCGCTACTTCACGTTTGCTTGTGCTTTGTTGACAGTCTCCCATGGACTCTGGGGAAGGTGGATGGGAGGGGGAAATGCTTGGGGAAAGCGAAAGTAACTGCTGTATGTCCAGGAGATGCTACTTCAAGGTCACCCTTCTGGGAGAAGAAGGCAGCTGCATACCAAAGTTGAAGTGACCGTTCTGAAAACATTTTAGATGAAACTTGATTGGTCATGGGTATGTGTGTGTGTGTGTGTGTGTGTGTCAGCGATGAGAGGCAGTTAAGGGAGGGAAAAGTTGAACTTGGGGATTTTGGTGTGCGATTCCGCCTATGCACTATTGCAAGGCACTTGACTTCTAATAAAGCTATACCTTTCTCAATAAATAGAGCCAAGGATTGTTTCTGTTTAGAGCAGGGGTGGGCAAATCCAAGACCGAGTGGCTGTGGTTTCCGACGTCCCGATATAGTCAGTTGGTGCCATCACTGACTATTGGGGATGAGTAATTGCCCCCCACGGAGAGGGTTCGCAACTTAGGCGTCCTCTTGGACTCACGGCTGTCTTTAAAAGAACACTTGACGGCTGTGGCCGGGAGGTCTTTTTATCAGGTTCGCCTGATTCGCCAGTTGCGTCCCTTTCTGGATCGGGACTCGTTAAATACGGTCACTCATGCCCTCGTCACTTCACACCTGGACTACTGTAATGCTCTCTACATGGGGCTCCCCTTGAGGAGCACCCGGAGCCTCCAGCTGGTCCAGAATGCGGCCGCACGGGTAGTTATGGGAGCAGCATGGCGCTCCCATGTGGCTCCCCTCCTGCGCGAGCTGCACTGGCTCCCTGTGGTCTTCCGGGTGCGCTTCAAGGTCTTAGTTACCACCTTTAGAGCGCTCCATGGCTTAGGACCGGGGTACTTACGAGACCGCCTTCTGCCACCAATAGCCTCTCACTGCCCAGTACGCTCCCATAGAGGGGCTTCTCAGGGTGCCGTCAGCCAAAGAGTGTCGACTGGCGGCTCCCAGGGGGAGAGCCTTTTCTATGGGGGCACCCACCATCTGGAACGAGCTCCCCCCAGAGATACAGAAGATTCCGGATCTGCGCACTTTCCGCCGTGCCCTCAAAACCTGTTTCAGCAGGCCGGCTGGCCTAACTTTCCCTTTATATTGCTTTCGATTTTATTTTAAACTGGGATGTCTTGAATTATCTAGGTCCAGAGTGTTTAGTATATTTTAATTGGTTTTTGTTTAATTAACATTTGTATTACATGTATTTTTTATCGTTCGCTGTTCACCGCCCTGAGTCCCTCGGGAATAGGGCGGTATATAAATTAATTAATTAATTAATTAATTAATTAGTTAATTAAATAAATAAATAAATAAATAAATAAATAAATAAAATATGGCCCCTTTATGACCTGTGGACTTCAACTCCCAGAATTCCTGAGCCAGCTTGGCTGTCTCAGGAATTCTGGAGTTGAAGTCCACAGGTTGTAAAAGGGCCACAGTTGCCCACCCCTGGTTAAGAGTGTTGTCAGTCACTGAGTGCATATTTAGCAGGAAAGCAGGCTAATCTTGCTAGCATTCTAAACTAAGCGAACCTGCAGCTCTGCCTCCATTTGTGACACGCAACACCAGAAAAGCAGCCATGGAAACAAAGAATGTGGTCCCTCAACTGGGTGCTCCTGTCCGAGTGTGCAAAATCCTTCCCGGAGTCATTTTGCAAAAAACGCAATGCAGAAAACGGCTACCTCTTCCTGCTGCAGCTGCCAGTGGTGGGTCAGAAAAGTCTTGGACTGAACCTCAACAGAGCATCCTGGAGCTGTCATTATGTTGCTATTCTGTACTGCAGTGATGGCTAAACGTTTTCTCTTCGGGTGCCAAAAGCGTGTGTGCGCATGTGACAGCGCATGCGTGTGCCAACACCCAGAATGCAATGTGTGCGCCCCACACATGCATGCACCCCCCATGCATATGTACGTGACACATAACCCCTGTGCATGCGCGGGAGGGGAGGGATTAACATTTTTTAGCAACCTACACCACAGCGGGGAGGGGGGGCATTTTTGCCCTCCCCAGGTTCCAGAGGCTTTCCCCGAGCCTCCAGGTGGGTGATAACGGCCTCCCCCGGGCTCTGGAGGCCCTCCAGACTCTGGGCTCGTTTCCACACTTCCGGAACGCACACGACGCTCTCCCCCCCTGCATGCACTCACGTCTCCCGCATGCGCCCCATCCCCTGCGCATCCCAAAAATCAGTTGGCTGGCGGGAGGTGCGTGTACGAATGCACAGTGAACGTGAGCTGGGCGCCGGCTCGCGTGCCCGCAGAGAGGACTTTGCGTGCCAGATGTGGCACGCGTAACATAGGTCCGCCATCACTGCTCTACTGCATTATTGTGAAGGTTAAAAACGGGTGGTGGGGAAGAAAATTGTGCCCTGCGGTAAAGGAAGGGCAGGTGAAACATCTGAATAAAAATATCGAGAGCAGCCGCCGAAGGAAAGGAGTCCTGCTCCTTATTTAATCAATAGTTCATCAAGTTTGTAGAAGGGGAAAATAATCTGAATTTGAAGGAAGCATTATGCAGGGGGTTTTTGGTTGGTTTTTTTCTTGCAAGAGACACGGCCCATTTCATAGCAGGCCCTGTCTTTAAAAACGCCATTTTCCCTTATGGAAAACCTGACAGAACAGTATTTCGCATCAGAAGATTTTAAAAGTGCTTGAGTTAAAATAATATTTTTTTAAAATCAATTGATCTAGGTCCTGGCAGCAGGGCCAATTTTTTTTTAAAGCTTTTTGCTTTATTCCTATTAAGCCTGAGTACAACACTAAAAACACACTAATCCTATTATGTAGCAGATCTGCCTATTTAGTAGTTATTAATAGTTAATAGTCTTTTTTTTTTTTTTTTTGCTGAAGAACAGGATAGTCTTGTTCCAGTTCAGTTCATCTAATTCTCCTTCTTTAAACTGCTTCAGCTGATTCCTATAGCTTTAAATTACTCCGGGCCTGGTGGCTCAGCAGACTGATAGCATTGAGATTAACACCAGCTGTCTGCAATTACTGTAAGTTCGAATCTCACCAGGCTCAAGGTTGACTCAGCCTTCCATCCTTTCTAAGGTAGGTAAATTGAGGACCCAGTTTGTGGCGGCAATAAGCTGACTTTGTATAAATATACAAAAGTATGAAGGCTATTGCTTAACGCATTGTAAGCCGTCCTGAGTCTCCGGAGAAGGGCGGCATATAACTCAAATTTTAAAAAAACAAAAAAAAACCTCCTACTAAGACAGTGATGGCGAACCTATAGCACCTCTCTGTGGGCATGCGAGCTGTTGCCCCAGCTCAGCTCTGCCGCGCATGTGCGTGCGCCTCCCGCCAATCAGCTGGTCTTTGGTCTTTGCTGGGCATGTGCGGGATGCATGTGGGGGTGGGAGGTGGGCGCATCAAGGGTGAAATGCTCCCGGTTCAGACCGGATCAGCCATTAGCGATGGAGGCGGGTAGTTCGGAGAACCGGTAGCAAAAATCCCTGCCCCACCCGCCCATGCCCACCCAATTGCCCGATCGCCCACTTGTCTGCTTGGCCGCTTGCTGCTTCTTTCGGGCTCGCTCGCTTTTCCTGCCTTGTTTTGGCTGCTGCAATCCATTGCATCAGTTAGCAACTGAATCTGTCTGCCTGCAATCAATCCAATCAGTGAGCAACTGAATCTGCCTGCCTTGTGCCTTCAATTTGGTAAGTAACTGGTTTTTTTTGGGTTTTTTTCGGAGCTTTAAAAAAAATAGTTAATTGGGGTTTTTTTTTTTTTTAGACATAGCAATTTAAAGTTAAGGAAGTTTTAAACTTAGCTGCTTTTATCTAAAAATATAAATGAAATGAAATAATAAAATAAAATAAAACTTTGTGCAGCTTTCTGAGATTTGGTGTGTTTCTGTAGTGTTTCACTCTAACTACACAAACACACAAAAATCTCACAAAGGTGTATGCGGCATTTTGTTGTAGGAAAAGTGTGAAAGTTGTTTTTTGAGCTTTTTGTGGCTGTGTTGTGAGGTTCCTGCTTGTTGCAGGGCCCATTTTGGGTGAAGTGCAGCTGCTTTTACATTGTGTGTGAGTCAGTTGTGTTGCATTGTGTTGCGTTGTGTGTGTGTAAAGTGTGAAAGTTGGTTTTTGGTATCTCTTATTGTTTTGTGTGCTTTGTTTAGCCCACCCTGTCACCTGGCTACCAAGCCACACCCACAGGTCACCTGACCAACAAGCCATGCCCCACCAATTAAGCCATGCCCACAGAACTGGCAGGGAAAATTTTTAGATTTCACTCCTGGCGCGCATGCACATATGCGTGGGGCAGGGCACACGTGGGGATGCGCACGCATGCATGAGGCACGCACGCATTCGCAGGAGCAGGGCGCATGCACGGGGCCTGCATGTGCATTGCATTTTGGGGGTTTGGGCGCCCGCTTGCGCTTTGGGCACTTAGTCCGGAAAAGGTTAGCCATCACTGTACTAAGAGATCTTTCATTGCCTTTAAGCAGCCTCTACCTGAGAAAAATTGGACAGTGCCCCAATGTTAATGTAACTGTATCAGCCACCGCAGCTCTCTTTTTTTCCAATAGGCAGCTGGCATCTTGAAGTGATATTCCAAGGCTGGTACTCACCCACTGCCGAATGGTAGTGCGAGAGGGCTTCGGCCAGCTGCCCAGCAGCCAGTAGCTTCCGACCCATTTCTAGATGGTTGTCAATCTCAGCTTGTCCGGCAGCCAACAAACCTGGAAGGGATGAAGTCATTCGGGAGACCAAGAGTTAGGGGCAGTGTTTCTCAATGATGGCAAGATGTCTGGGACTTTAACATCTTTGTCAAACAGCATGCTGGTATGGAATTCTGGGAGTTGAAGTCCTCACATGCTGGCTGGGGAATTCTGGGAGTTGAAGTCTCACATGCTGGCAAGGGAACTGTCGGAGTTGAAGTCCTCATATGCTGGCTAGGGAATTCTGGGAGTTAAAGGCTTCACATACTGGCTGGGGAATTCTGGGAGTTGAAGTCCTCACATGCTGGCTGGGGAATTATGGGAGTTAAAGGCTTCACATGCTGGCTGGGGAATTATGGTAGTTGAAGTCCTTACATGCTGGCTAGGGGAACTGTCGGAGTTGAAGTCCTCACATGCTGGCTAGGGAATTCTGGGAGTTAAAGGCTTCACATGCTGGCTGGGGAATTCTGGGAGTTAAAGGCTTCACATGCTGGCTGGGGAATTCTGGGAGTTGAAGTCCTTACATGCTGGCTAGGGAACTGTCGGAGTTGAAGTCCTCATATGCTGGCTAGGGAATTCTGGGAGTTAAAGGCTTCACATGCTGGCTGGGGAATTCTGGGAGTTGAAGTCCTTACATGCTGGCTAGGGAACTGTGGGATTGAAGCCCTCGCATGCTGGCTGGGGAATTCTGGGAGTTGAAGTCCTCACATGCTGGCTGGGGAATTCTGGGAGTTGAAGTCCTTACATGCTGGCTAGGGAACTGTCGGAGTTGAAGTCCTCATATGCTGGCTGGAGAATTCTGGGAGTTAAAGGCTTCACATACTGGCTGAGGAATTCTGGGAGTTGAAGTCCTCACATGCTGGCAAGGGAACTGTGGGAGTTGAAGTCCTCATATGCTGGCTAGGGAATTCTGGGAGTTAAAGGCTTCACATGCTGGCTGGGGAATTCTGGGAGTTAAAGGCTTCACATGCTGGCTGGGGAATTCTGGGAGTTGAAGTCCTTACATGCTGGCTAGGGAACTGTGGGAATTGAAGCCCTCGCATGCTTGGCTGGGGAATTCTGGGAGTTGAAGTCCTCACATGCTGGCTAGGGAACTGTGGGAATTGAAGTCCTCACATGTTGGCTAGGAAACTGTGGGAGTTGAAGTCCTCACATGGTGGCTGGGGAATTCTGTGGAGTTAAAGGCTTCACATGCTGGGTAGGGAACTGTGGGAGTTGAAGACCTCACATGTTGGCTGGGGAATTCTGGGAGTTGAAGTCCACACAACTTAAAATGGCTGAGGAATTCTGACCTAGATCCTTGATGCATTCTTAGCAAACTGGTGAAACAACAAATTCTTTTGCAAACACCAAAGATGGTACCTCACTAATTTCCTTCCTTCCTTCCTTCCTTCCTTCCTTCCTTCCTTCCTTCCTTCCTTCCTTCCTTCCTTCCCTCCCTCCCTCCCTCCCTGAGGAATCCCTTTCCTTTAAAAGTGACTCTGGATGGCTCACCTGTAGTAGAAACCGAATTATTAAAATACGAGAATAAAAGCGGCCACATTAGGGACAAAAGCAGGCTTAACATATAATAGCATTACTGTATTGGGTTTGTACACTGTCCTTCCCCAGTATCTGTGGAAAGAGACTGGCTTAACGAACCTTAGTGAGATCGGGGCCATATGGATTTTGGAGGGATGCTAGTATAAGGGTGAAAAACACTGACTTTTAACTTTGCAGATTGCTGCTCTTTTCACAGAACCGCAGAGCTCCTGTCCTTCTTCGACTAAGTGAGCAAGATTTGAAAGGCCACAGCTAGGAAATAATACTCAAATGTGCTCAAACCCTGAAAACCATCGGTTGTTAATGTGAACGTACTTTTCATGCTATTTTTTCCTTAGATGTTCTGCTGCATTTGCTCTATACCCTTCTGCTTTTCTGTTTAGAGGCCCACTGAAACTTTAGATCAAGTTTCTAATTCAAACTATTCTATTTAACATTACCGTCCTAAATTAGCTGTACAGTTATAAAACCTTTACTGTTCTTTATTGTAAAACGGATACTTGCTTGGTATCCCCCTACCAAGGGTATTCTCCCCTTATAGCCTAGGTTTTGATGGGTCTAAATTGTGACTTTGTATAGCTCAGTTTAGTGAACATTTCTTTCTTTCTGTCTTTTCCTGTCCTGGGTTTTTAACATTTAACATTTATTTCTTTCCTGTCCTGGGTTTTTAACATTTACCATTTCTTTTTTGAACTTTCTTGCTTCAAATGCTCTACTATCATCCCAGTCCCGAAGAAGCCCACCATCAAGGAACTGAATGACTACAGACCAGTTGCTCTAACATCTGAAGTTATGAAAACCTTTGAAAGGCTAGTTCTGTCCCACTTGAAAACCATCACGGATCCGTTGTTACACCTCCTGCAATTTGCATACCGAGCAAATAGATCAACAGACGATGCTGTTAATATGGCTCTGCACTACATCCTACAACATCTTGAATCTCCATAGACCTACGCAAGGGTCCTCTTTGTAGACTTTAGTTCAGCATTCAATACCATCATTCCAGACATTCTTCTAACTAAGCTAAACCAGCTAGCGGTACCTGAACACACTTGTAAGTGGATCATAAGCTTCCTAACAGACAAGAAGCAGCAGGTGAAGCTAAGCAGAATCACATCAGATACCTGTACAATTAGCACAGGGGCCCCACAAGGCTGTGTGCTCTCTCCACTTCTCTTCTCTCTGTATACCAGGGGTCTCCAAACTTGGCAACTTTAAGACTTGTGGACTTCAACTCCCAGAGTTCCTTTGCCAGCTTTGCTAGCTGAGGAATTCTGGGAGTTGAAGTCCTGAAGTCTTAAAGTTACCAAGGTTGGAGATCCCTGCTGTATACCAATGACAGCATCTCAAACGATCCATCTGTTAAACTACTGAAGTTCGCAGATGACCCAATAGTGATCGGTCTCATTCGAGACAACGATGAATCCGCATACAGATGGGAGGTTGAACAACTAGCCTCGTGATGTGACCAGAACAATCTGGAACTGAACACACTCAAAACCGTAGAAATGGTGGTGGACTTTAGGAGAAACCCTCCCATACTTCCACCTCTCACAACGCTAGACTACACAGTATCAACAGTACAGACACTCAAATTTCTAGGTTCCACCATATCTCACGACCTAAAATGGACACCCAACGTCAAAAACGTCATCAAAAAAGCACAACAAAGAATGTTCTTTCTGCGCCAACTCAGAAAGCTGAAAACTGCCCAAAGAGCTGCTGATACAGTTCTACAGAGGAATTATTGAGTTTGTCATCTGCATCTCTATAACTGTCTGGTTTGGTTCTGCAACCCAACAAGACAGACACAGACTTCGGAGGATAATCAGAACTGCAGAAAAAACAATTGTTACCAACTTGCCTTCCATTGAGGACCTGTATACTGCACAAGTCAAAAAGAGGGTTGTAAAAATATTTACAGACCCCTCACATCCTGGACATAAATTGTTTCAACTCCTACCCTCAGAATGACACTACAGAGCACTGTACACCAGAACAACTAGACACAAGAACAGTTTTTTCCCGAACGCCATCACTCTGCTAAACAAATAATTCCCTCAACACTGTCAAACTAGTTACTAAGTCTGCACTACTATTAATCTTCTCATCGTTCCCACTACCCATCTCCTTTCACTTATGACTGACTGTATGACTGTAATTTTGTTGCTGGTATCCTTACGATTTATATTGATATTGTTTCCTGATTGCTTATTTGCACCCTATGACTATCATTAAGTGTTGTACCTTATGATTCTTGACGAACGTATCTTTTCTTTTATGTACACCGAGTGTATGCACCAAGGCAAATTTCTTGTGTGTCCAATCACACTTGGCCAATAAAGAATTCTATTCTATTCTATTCTTTATTTCTTTCCTGTCCTGGGTTTTTAATATTTAACATTTCTTTATTTCTTTCCTAGCCTGGGTTTTTAACATTTAATATTTTTTTTATTTCTCTCCTGTTCTGGGTTTTTAAATAATGGCTACAGGTAGACCTCGACTTATGACCATATTTCTTTTGTTAAGTGAGACATTTCTTGCCACCGTTTTTAAGTGAATCCCTGCAGTTGTTAAGTTAGTAAAATGGTTGTTAAGTGAATCTGGCTTCCCCATTGACTTTACTTGTCTCAAGGTTACAGTAACATGACCCTGGGACACTGCAACGGTCGTAAATATGAGTCAGTTGCCAAACTGTTCTGAATTTTGATCATCTGGCCAAGGGGATGCTGCAACGGTCATAAGATTGAAAAATGGTCATAAAGTCCCTTTTTGTTTTAGTGCCGTTGTAACTTTGAACGGTCACTAAATGAACTGTTGTTAAATCAAAGACTACTTGTATAGGGATGGTCATTATATAGAGCAAATAGGTTCACAGAGGTCAGTCCCATTGTACAGAGATCACTGAGGACTAGGAACATGCTAAGGTTTAAACGGAGGAAACCAAGAGAGGAGGGGGGTGGTAGGGAAGAACAGGCGGAGCCAGCCAATCACGTTGCCCAAGGGGAGGGCCTCTCGAGGACTGACAGGGCGGAGCTTGCCAAGTTTAAGGGGTATTGGGAGCAAAAAAGATTGACAGGAAACGACTGTGGCAACAAGGGGCGGGGCCAATAGAAACTCGGTTGCTAAGGTCAAAAAGGAAACGGAGGTGGGCTCCGATTACTATGGTTACCTGGCAACTGTAGATCCAGCAAGACGCAGAGCAACGAAGCGGCCCATAGCAGCCTTTTCTCACAGTTGCCCGGACCGAGCCCGGGACCGTCCGCGCTTCGGCCAAGCAGCCCTAGGCTGCGCCACACCGGCTGCTGCCCGGACTCCATGTCCCAAGCTCCGGAACCCGCTCACTTCCGCATCCGTATTCAGATCGGCTGACAGTTCTTTCCGGCACGCTTGGTCGTCTCTCTCTATTGTTCGAGGGTGAAGATAAAAGGGCCGCTCTAGGATAACCATTCTCTCTCGTCGGCACCCAACGGCCGTCCAAAGGAAAGAAGGAAGAGTGGAGCCTGCTAGCCAATCACCGCCCTCCTCTTGGAGAGCCGTGGAACTTCCCTGGCCAATCAGAGCTTAGGGCAGGCGCGGCGGAGAATCGGAAGGCGGTGCTTCTTCGCCGGGGAAAATTTGCAGAATTCGAAACGAGGTGAGATTTTTTTTCTGCCCCCCCAAATCACGTGGTGCGAAAAAAAAAGTGGGATCCTGGATTGGGGGGGGCGGTTATTTGTAAGGGCTTTTGCAAACTGGAAAAAAGGAAATTACCATATGCATGACTTTAATTAACAGCCAATAATAATAATAATAATAATAATTTTAAGGGTGCCTTATTATTTCCAGCGGAAGCAGAGGAACGAGGAACAGCACTTGATGCAGCATGTAGTTCCTGAGCTTGTGCAGAGCGCCTCTCCCGTTCTCTACCAAAGACTCTCCCATTGAAAGCCAGGCATGGTTTTCCAAAACGGATCATGAGCCACTAGAGATCCATTCTTAACCTTGTGCAGTGTAAAAAATAAAAATAAAATAAAATAAGACGGGCAGGTCTTTTAAGGTTGGCCTTTCCTATTTCCCACCTTTTTAAACAATGTAATTTTTTTTAAAAAAATCTAGTTCTTGGAGTTGTCAGTGAAATGAGCCAAGGAGTAGGAAGGCCATTGGATCACTACTAGAATGTTAACAACAATGAGGATTCTGTGCTTTTCAAGTTGTGAAATGTTTGGGAATCAGTGGGAAAAAAATGGTTTGTGGTGCATGAATTTCTGAATTCAGTAACAAGAGTTGGAGGGACCTTGGAGGCCATCTAGTCCAACCCCCTGCTAACTGCAAGAGACCTGTACTAGGGATTACAACTCTTTTAAAACAGCTCCATCTCTTTCTCCTGGGATCACATGGCAGCTTTCTGGAGCTGCCACATAATCTTTAAAAGTGTAAATTCTGCCTCACGGTGAGCTAGATGGCAAATTGAACAACTAATTTCAAAAATTAAAAATGGTAGCTGCATTTGTGTCTATATCCACACATCCTGGAACCAACTCTGAAGTTTGGTACACTGCCGTCAGTTGTGAGCTGTGGGACAAAGGCTTGCCTTATTTCTTTAAAACCTGCATAATGTTTAAGAGTTTTTTTTCTTTTTTTAAACATTTTTGAAGGAAGGAAGAAGATGGGAGGGAAGGTGAACAATGCGACTAGTGCTTTAACTGTCATCCTGCATTTAATTTTGGATAGTCGCAGTGTTCCAATATTTGAGGAGCTGCCACAGAGCGGAGGGGGTTCAAGCTATTCTCCAAAGCGCCTGAAGGCCGGACAGGGAATAATGGATGGAAACTGAAGAAGAGATTCAACCTGGAAACAAGGAGAAATTTTCTGACAGTGAGAACAGAAGTTGCTCTCAGAAGCTGTGGGAGCTTCATCACTGGAGGCTTTCAAGAAGAGATTGGACTGCCATCTGTCAGAAATGGTGTAGGCGAACCTATGGCAGGCGTGCCACAGGTGGCATGCAGAGCTCTCTCTGCGGGCACTCGAACTGTTGCCCCAGCTCAGCTCCACGGCGCATGCGTGTGTGCCTCCTGCCGGCCAGCTGAATTTTGGGTCTCTGCCACGCATGCGTGGGGGAAAGGGCGCATGCAGAAGACGCGCGGGGGCAAGCGGGAGCATGGGATCACATGCACATGCATGGGTGGGCGAGGCGCGGAGGGTGTGGATGCATTGCATTATGGGTTATAAGTGCAGGGAAGCCTCCTAGGCCCAAAATGGGGCATGGGGATGGTGCGGCGCAGTTCACCCCCCCGTGGCCCATTTCTGCTCCCAGGAGGCTGCAGGGAGGCCTACTAGGGCCAAAACGGGGCACTGGGGGTACGGCACAGCCCTCCCATGGCTCATTTTTGCTCCCAGGAGGCTGCAGGGAGGACTACTAGGCCCAAAATGGGGAGTGCGGGAGCGTCGTGCGGATCTGCAGGGGGCATGGCGCGCGAGGGGCTGGGGTTGCGCGTGCATTGCATTATGGGTGCGCGTTTTTGGCACGCGACAACAAAAAGGTTCGCCATCACTGGTGTAGGGTCTCCTGCTTAGGCAGGGAGGGTGGGGTTTGGACTAGTCAGTAGATGACCTACAACATTCCTTCCAACTCTGTTAATCTGTTAACAATCTCTTTCCTTCCCAGAGAATGTGACAAGGATGCCTGATGGAGCCCGATTCCAAGCGACGGAAGACAGCGGAGCCCAATGGCGCCTCCGCTTGGGAAGTGCAGCCTGTACTTTCGGAGCTGGAATCTCGCGATATCAGGCTCATGCCTGTCTACGCCGCCCCAGTGCTGGATAAGAAAGAGACCTGTCGCCTGATGAAAGAAGTCTCTGCTATCTACCCGTTGAGCAACTACCCTCATTTGAAACGGATCCGGGCTTGTCTCTCGGCAGGCAGCCCCCACCCGCTGGAGATGATCTTGTGCCTTGCAGGCCTCAACGGAGAGCAGGCCGGCTTGCGGTCCCTCGCTGAACTCTTTCCCAGCGGCGAAGTAGATTTCTGTGGCTTGGGGAAACCTTTCTTGGCCCATGTGCCGGCTTGCGCGCCTTTGACTCGTCCCCAGTATGAGGAAGCCGCGTCGCACTGGCCTGTCTCCTTCCACGAGAACAAACGGATCAGCCAAGCTCTGAAAGGCTGTCTTTTCTCCCCCCTGGAGAAGGATCGCATGCAGGGTTACATGGAGTTGGCTATCCAAGCAGCCCAGCAGGGAGCGAGGCAGGGTATGGAGCCCATAGGAGCCACAGTGGTGGATCCGGCCACTGGCCGAGTCCTGGCTGTTGGTCACGACTGTAGAGAGGGCTCCAACCCACTTCTCCACGCGGCGATGGTCTGCGTTGACTTGGTGGCCCACAGCCACGGAGGGGGAGCTTACAGCTTCGAAGATTATCCTGCTTGCACCTTTCTTCCTGCGGACAACAGTACCCAGCCGCCTCCTTCTCTTGAGGACGGCCTTCCGTACATTTGCACCGGGTACGACATGTACTTAACTCGGGAACCATGCATGATGTGTGCCATGGCGCTGGTGCACTCCCGCATTCAGCGGGTGTTCTACGGGGCTCCGTCCTCTCACGGGGCTCTGGGCACAACGCACCACATCCACAGCCGGAAGGACCTAAACCACCGTTATGAAGTCTTCCGAGGCATTCTGGAAGATCAGTGCAAACGCTTGGCGTGCAAGGAATCCTCGTGAGAGAAACTTGTCTGGTGGGAAGGTTCTTACTTTTGAGGCTTCCGGGGATGGTATATATTGTATTTTTTTTTCAAAAAAAGATATTGGAAGGATGGTTTCGTGTTTGTGGTGTAGTTTGTTTGTAGTCCTTGACTTAGAACCATTTGTTTAGTGACGGTTTGAAGTTAAAAACGACATTGAAAAAAGTGACTTATGACGGTTTTTCACACTTACGGCCGTGGTGTACATCCTCTTGGTTACGGATGCTTGCCAACAGATTCATATTTCTGGCGGTTGCGGGGTCTTGAGGTCACGTGATCCCCTTTTGCGACCTTCAGAGACAAGCAAAGATAATGGGGGAAGCCAGATTCACTTAACAACCATGTCACTGATAACTGCACTGATTCACTTAACAACTGTGGCAAGAAAGGTCGTAAAATGGGGCCAAACTCACTTAACAACGGTCTCAATTAGCAACAGAAATGTTGGGGTCATAAGTCGAGGACTACCTGTAAAAGGATGGGTCTTGAGATCAGCTGGTGGTGATAGAGCCAAAATATAGGCCGCCATAATGTATGGTGGACATAAGCAAAAGCCAGTAAATTCTAGTGGATAAAGCACCAAGTTAGAAACTGGGAGTCCGTGAGTTCTAGTTCTGTCTTGGCTATGAAAGCCAGGTGGGCGATTTTGGCCAGTCCCTTTCTCTCAGCCCAACCTACTTCACAGGGCTGTTGAAGGGAAAACAGGAGGAAGAAGGAGTATTGGATTTATTCGCTGGCTTGAGTTATTTGTAAAAATTATAAAGGTTGGATACCAAAAAAATAAACATGGTCATAGCAATGCTAAAATAGGACGGGATGTTGCAATGCTCTGGATCTACGGTGGAATTGTTATTGTGTTTTTATTTTGCTTTTGATGTGTCACAAATTGTGACTTTATTAACCATAAATATAAATTGTAAGTCAAGTCTTTTTATTCTTGTAATTTGTTTGTTGGTACGCATATAAAAAAAATATGTTAAATTTTTGCATTGCCTATTTCTGGTGAGCTGGAACCAACTGCTCTTATTTTCCCTAAAAATATCACTTTGATATTTTGAAAACGATGCGACCATTTTGTGACATTTGTTAACCGCACCACTCAAGACCTACCTGTACGTCGCTGCTGCCGCCGCCCAATACAGGTGTGCCTGCTTGCTTTAATTCAGCAATTAATAATGATTTGGGATGACTCTGTTGGGATTGTATATCCCAGGGGTCTGCAACCTTAAACACTCAAAGAGCCATTTGGACCAGTTTCCCACAGAAAAGAAAACACTGGGAGCCACAAAACCCTTCCCATGCCTGATGATTTCTTGAACGGCCACAAAACTAGCATCTGCAGTTGAATTAAACGTTCTGTTTTCTTCTGAAACTTTTCTTTTCTTGGATTTATCCATGGTTGACCTACCGGGGGTTGAAAATTTCAATAAAGGAGCCTGGATAGCTCAGCAGACTAATGCATTGTAATTTAACTCCAGCTCTCTGCAATTAGGAAGTTCGAATCTCGCCAGGCTCAAGGTTGACTCAGCCTTCCATCCTTTCTAAGGTAGGTAAATTGAGGACCCAGTTTGTGGGGGCAATAAGCTGACTTTGTAAAAATATACAAAAGTATGAAGGCTATTGCTTAACGCATTGTAAGCCGCCCTGAGTCTCCGGAGAAGGGCGGCATATAAATCAAATTTAAAAAATAAAAAATTGTGTGTTGGCGGGTGTCGCACATCGGTGGTTGTGACACATATTTTGAATGACGGAGCCGCAGCAGAGGGGTGAAAGAGCCACATCCGGCTCCAGAGCCTCAGGTTGCTGACTCCTGGTATAACCAACAGTGCTGGCATTTTCCACTTTTCTCAGGACAGTCTCCCCAAGGAGGCAGTACGGCAGGAGTTGTAGAGTTAGTCCTTTTGCTTTCTACTTTTATTACATAAAAATGGAATGAAATAATGTTTTAATACCTGTCCTGAAGACACTCATACATTTATGAAGGGGTGGTGATGGCCTGTATGGGCCTGAACGGCATCCTCCTTCCTTTAAAATTCATAAAATGTGGATCTATCCATTCGTATTAGTTAAACTGCTATGATATGAATATGTACCAAACTATATGTAGTTCTCGACTTAGTGACTGTTTGGTTAGCGACCAAAGATACAATGAATATGTCCAAGGTTATAGATAGTTGTTTTGACCCAGCTCCCCAAACCCTCTGTAGTTGAAGCAATGATTCCTTTATTAGGAGCGCCAGCAGTCCCGGCAAAAAGTTTCTCTTTTACCTCAGGATAACAAGTCTGTCTGGCAGGAGAGATGAATAGTTGTCTGCCACATCTATTCATATCTGCCTCTTGCCTTTTATCCCCAGAGCTAGGGTGGGGCTTCACTAGCAGCGGTGGCTCTTCTGTCCCAAGGATTGGCCCATAGATTTCCACTGCTCTCCTCTCCTCTGCCTTCTGCGCATCCGTGCATCAGGCACTGGACCCAGCTTTTCCTCCTCTTCCTCATCAGCCACCTCCAGACCTGAGGGCTGTTGACTCTCCATCTGAGGGCTGACGGACGGCCCAGGCTCTGCCTCTGTCTCTCTCTCTCTGCCAGCTCCATTCCCTCTTCCCACTCAGCTCTCAGGTTGCCTTGATGCTGGCCCTGACTCCCACGCCTCCTCCTTCTCTGATTTGGCTGCTGGAGGGGCCGTTGGCCGATAGCCACAACAGTAGTCCTCGACCATTCATTCAGTGACAATTTGAAGTTATAACAGCCCTGAAAATGTGACTTGTGACCAGTTTTCACACTTATGACGGTTGCAGCACATGATGAAAATTTGGACGCTTAGCAACGGGCTCATTTTTATGACCGTTGGGGTGTCATGAGATCATGTGATTCCCCTTTGGTGACCTCCTTACAAGCAAAGTTAACGGAGAAGCCAGATTCACTTCGCAACCATGTTATCACCGTAACAACTGCAGTGAATCACTTCACTGTGGCAGGGAAGGCCATAAAATGGGGCAAAACTCCACAACCGTCTTGCTTAGCAACCAAAATTTTGAGCTCAGTTGTCGTAAGTCGAGGACTACATGCACTTACAACCGAGATTCGAAGCTCTGACGGTCACATCCCACCCCTCCCCGCTCTGATCATGGGACTACATTTTTGGTGGTCAACAATTGGCCCAATTTTTGGCTGTTTGCAGTGTCCTGCTAATATAGATGAAGCGGGATCTGATAGATGACCACTGGATAACTTTCTATTCACTCTATTCTAAAAGCAGGAAATGCATCCGGTTGGAAAAAGTACAAAGTCAGCCAAAAACCTTTTGATACCTTTAGGAGGCCTCTAAGTTGTCAGAAGATAGGAACATTCTAATGACATACAGCTTAAAGGTTGGTAAGGTCAAGGGTATCCACATGAGCTAGAAGTCGTTTATCAACAGAAGATAATTTGAATCTATGCTCCAGTAATTTACAGAACAATTATGATTGTTTGGCAAGGATAATGTAAAACTTTAGTAATTAGGAAATGTCAATTAAATATAACAAATGTATATGACCATATAAACTGCTGAGTTAACAGAATCCTTTGTTTGAAAATGTATAAAACTGTGGTCTCAGAATCATAAAGTTGTTCAGATTTTTAGGTACGCATACCTCTCTGAACCTTGCGCAATAAAACTGTCTCCGGATGACCTAGGAATGTTGCTTTGTCCTCATCATTCCACAACACTGCGATCATGTGACTATGATATACAATGTATTTTGCTGGAAACTTGGTGTTTACTTCTGGTTTCTGGCAAAAAAAAAATCCATTGTGGACAATGGATTCGTTTTACGACCACTGCATTCATTTAATGACCGTCACAAAAAATATTATAAAATCAGGCAGTGTCACTTGATTAATTCCAGGCTCAATTGCGGTCATAAGTCAAGGAGTATCTGTATTCTGAAAAAATGTATCTGAGTCCTACATGTTGGAGGATGGATCGGAAACAAATATTATCTATATATTGTTTTGAGGTGTCCACTGATACTTTACTAATTTTTGCTTTAATGACACTTGATTGACTAATTTTGAAAATATTTGGAGCGATATTTCATGCCAACAAGCAATTAGTGAACACTAGCGTTGAATTCATATAAAAGTTTTGTTCCTATTAATTCCTAAAACAATCTTAGCGTCTTGATTAAAAAAGGCTATATATAAACCCTTTGTAAGAAAATAAACAAAATGATAAAGCAAGAAGGCAAAGATTAAAACCAATTATTTTAAAAATAGAACAAGAAACAATTAGGGCAGCTGATAGGGAAGTCTAAGAAAAGGGAGGGAAACAGATAAATCTAATTTGCTGACACCAAGGACAGATTGACCTTCTAACCATTAAGTAAATATTTAACCAAAGTATTTAATATTTAAATATTTAACCAAAATATTTAAGACAGGGAGTCCTTAACTTACGAGCACAGTTGAGCCCAAAATTTCCATTGTTAAGGCAGTTAAGTGAGTTTTGTCCCATTCTACCACAGAGTAAAATCCATATTCACACTCTCTTTCCTATTTCTTCCCAAAATGATCTTAGCTTCTTGATTCAAAAAGGCTGTAAGTAAACCCTTTGTAAGGAATTATCTAAAATTATAAAGTTAAAAATAAACACTGAAACTAATTATTTGAAAATTAAGCAAGAAATAATGAGGGCGGTTGATAAAATGATAGGGAAGTCCAACAAAAGGGAGGAAACAGATAAATCTAATTTGCCAACACCAGGACACAATGACCTTCTCCCCATTAAGTAAATATTTAACTGAAGTATTTCATATTTAACTTAATATTTAACCAAAATATTTCATATCTGGGAGCTGAAGTCCATGTATCTTAAAGTTGCAATGTTCAACACGTGGTTTTGGTATTTGTGAATCAGAATCAAATAAGCCTCTCCTCATTTATGGCCCTCGACTTACAACAGTTTGTTTAGTGACCGAAGTTAACAATGGTACTAAAAAAAAACGACTTATGACCGTTTTTCACACTTACAACCGTTGCAGCATCTCCACAAAATTCAGACGCTTGGCAACTGACTCGTATTTATGACGGTGGCAGTGTCACGTGATCCCGTTTTGCGACCTTCTGACGCACAAAGTCAACGGAGAAGCCAGATTCACTTAACAACCGTGTGACTAATTTAACACTTGCAGTGATTCACTTAACAACTGTGGTGAGAAAGGTCGTAAAACGGGGGTGAAACTCACTTGTCTCACTTAACAACAGAAATGTTAGGCTCAATTGTGGTCGTAAACCGAGGACTACCTGTAACGGTATCTCCTCTGCCTCTTTAATTTTGTTCATGGTCTTTGTCTGGGACTGAGAACAATTCCTCCTCAAAAGTTATTATATCATGGATCTCCAAAATTGGCCATTTTTAAGACATGTGGACTTCAATTCCCAGAATTCCCTAGCTAGCAATTCTGGGAGTTCAGCCATGCTGGCTGGTGAATTCTGGGAGTTGAAGTCCACAAGTCTTAAAAGTGGCCATGTTTAGAAACCCCTGCTTTATAATATTAAGCAGTGTAATGGGAATCTATTGGGAAATAGAGCTTTGCCTTTCAAGGAGATAAGAAAGCTGTTATTGCAACAAGCAGAGTGGCGCAGCGGAAGCGTGCTGGGCCCATAACCCAGAGGTCGATGGATCGAAACCATCCTCTGCTAAGTAGTATTTTTTCTAAAATAGAAAAATAAAAATAAAAATCTGTCGACCTTTGGATACATCTTTTTAAAAACTTAAAAAAAAACAAACCCTCGCCTTTCCCCCTGGCTTGGATTCCAGAAAATACAGGAAATGAACGCTTTTTAGATGATGCAAAACCATACCTGTCAATCATCCTGACTTCTGAGCATTAAGCATGCTATTCAGGATTGCAGAGAATTGGCTTTAATTGCTGTTTAACGAAAAACCTTGCTTTGCAATTCGGGGCGCAGGGGCGAGGGAAAGCTAGCTTGGGTTAAGGAGGTGGAGGAGGATGGGAATTGTAGTGCTTCTTGGTTGCAGATGGAAACTGGCCTTAACTACCTTAATGAAAAAAAAATAATGTGGGCATCTTATAATAAATTGGATTATTCCTTCGGGAATTCAAAGGCTTCGCTGCAGAGGCCTGAAAAGCTAACTAGGATAAAGGCAACATTTTATGGGGAAGGGGAAAAAAAAATATTTGCCGCCCGAACAGGGACTTGAACCCTGGACCCTCAGATTAAAAGTCTGATGCTCTACCGACTGAGCTATCCGGGCTCTTGACGAAGGTGGTTTTCTGCACTCCTGTAGTGTAACTCAAAACTCCCGATGCATTTTTTTTTCCTCTGCTTTTTTTTTTTTTAAAGGGTATAGAAGGGAATATTCCATTGATTTTTTTTCCAATTCTCTGATCTTGATTTTGACCCGGAATCCAAATCATTCGTAGAAGCAACAGGGGGAGAGAGAGAGAGAGAGAAAAGCAATGCATTAAATAACTGTGGGAAGCGCACCCCCATCCCGAAGAAAGAAATATTTTGGAAAATATTAAAAAAAAAAGACAGGATAGAATATTTCCCCCAAATGAGAAATGGGAAAAAATATTTAAGGGAGGCAGAAACCGGCCCCTTAGCAGAAATTGAGGAGGCCAGCTTTTAGAAACGCAGATTTGGTAATCCATTCAGAAAGACTGGGTCAGATGGAAACTCCAGATAAGCAACAAACAAAAGGTTGACAAGATTAGCTCAGACCGATACCTGCGACAGCAATGGCTAATCTTTTCATTGCCAAGTGCTGAAAGCAAGAGCGGGCGCACCCATAATGCAATGCACGTGCAACCCCACCGTGTACCCTGTGCATGCGCGCACACCCACCTACATGCGCCTCTCCTGCGCATGCACACATGACCCCCCACATCCCGCCCTGTGCATGCATGCAAGACGCCCCGCATGCACCTTGCCCCGTCCATGCACGTGTGACCTTTGTGCAAGCATGCGTAACTCCGCCGTATGCCCCACCCCGCACATGTGCACGCGCCTTCATGTGTGCCCCACCCCTGCGCATGTGCATGTGACTCCCCATGTTCCCTGCCCTGCAAATGTGCGCATCACCTCCGCATGCGCCCTGCCCCTTGCATACATGTGTGACCCCCACAAATGCATGCATGACCCCTCGTGTGCCCCCGTGCATGCACGTGCTACCCCACACATGCGGCCTGCCCCCACAAATGCATAACCATCTCCCGCCTGCACCCCACCCCCCTCTGCCTCTGCGTGGCAGAGACCCAAAAACCAGCTGGCTGGCGAAAGAGGTGTGCGCATGCACGGTGGAGCTGTGCTAGGCCGATGGCTCGTGTGCCCGCCGAGAGGGCTCTATGTGCCCCCTGTGGCACATTTGCCATAAGTTCGCCATCACAGATCTAGGATTTCCATTTCCCCTCTTGCCTATAAAGCCAGCTATGACCCCTATATGACCCCATAGGAATCCAGACGGTATAAAAACCCACCCACTCTAAACTCTATTTTGTCAGCAGTACCAGAATCGCACGGTTGGTGGTTCTGCTTCATCAATAAACAGCCCCTTTTTCCAATCAGCCTCCAGCAGGGGTGAAATCCAGCAGGTTCTGACAGGTTCTGGAGAACCCGTAGCGGAAATTTTGAGTAGTTCGGAGAATCGGCAAATACCACCTCTGGCTGGCCCCAGATTGGGGTGGGAATGGAGATTTTGCAATATCCTTCCCCCCAGGAGTGGTGAGGGAATGGGGATTTTACAGTATCCTTCCCCCCAAGAGTGGGGTGGGAATGGAAATTTTGCAGTATCCTTCCCCTGCCGCACCCACCAAGCCACGTCTACAGAACCAGTAGTAAAAAAAATTGGATTTCACCACTGGCCTCCAGCCTCCCTTTTATTTCCAGCGTCTTTCTCCCAGCTTGGAACTGAACCTGATGGATTTTCCTCTTTCCTTCATAACCATAAGGCAAGACTGCAAAGACAACTAAAAACAAGGAAGAGAGTAACAATAACCATAAGGAGCTGAGGAAGATTTGGATGGCTAAGCGTTGTGGAAGGCTGTTTGTTTTGGAAGTTGTTTTAGCTTTGATTTCTGCTTGAAACAGAAATTTATGCATAGATGCTGCACGTTCAGTGTTGTGAAAAAATATATATGACATTTTTTTAAAAAAATGCCCTTATTTTGATGGACAAACATCGCCAGGCAACCTCTGCCATGGGTTTTAATCTGAGCAATGCCTGCTCCGCTTGTTTCTTCTTCAGGCCAGAATAACAGAGTTTGGAAGGGAACTTGAAGGTCCTCTTGATATGGAATGATAGGACCAAACAACATTCCTGGGTCAGCCAGAGACAGTTTTTATTGCGCAAGGTTCAGAGGCAGATTGGTTCTTGCTATCTGAACAAAGAAAGAGCCTGGTAGGACTGCTTTTATACATATCCAAGACAAAGGACTTTGCTGGCACAGCAGTTTTCCATATATGGTTAACATACATCCATTATAAGATAATTGACATTTCCTAATTACTAAATTCCTATATTATTTTCTAGTTCATAAAATTTATCGTAGCTAAACATCCTTTATTAGTTCTGTGATTGCTGATGCATAGATTTATGTCTTCCTTGGTTCCATATGGATGTCCTTACATCCTTGACAACTAGGCCCCTTCAGAAGATATATATATATTACCCA